AAGACCCTCAACTGCGCACCCCCCTAAACCCTAAACTTTAACCCTAAACCCCTGAACCCTAAACCCTAAACCATGGCTCGGAATCCTGGGTCCCGCACGCCGAAAGCAGCAACACCACCTCAGGAAAACAAAGCTTAAGAAGACTGCTTAAGAGCAACAGAAGGTAACAAAAACATAGCGACAAGAATCAGGGTCATACTGACGACAATACTATCACTATTGAAACACCCATGGAAAATGCGGAAGTAGTAGTATTAGTAGTAGTCGTCGTCGTAGTAGCAGTAGTACTAGTGGTAGTAGTAGTAGTAGTAGTAGTAGTAGTAGTAGTAGTAGTAGTAGTAGTAGTAGTAGTAGTAGTAGTAGTAGTTTAGTAGTAGTAGTAGTAGTAGTAGTAGTAGTAGTAGTAGTAGTAGTAGTAGTAGTAGTAGTAGTAGTAGTAGTAGTAGTAGTATCAGTAGTAGTAGTAGTAGTAGTAGTAGTAGTAGTAGTAGTAGTAGTAGTAGTAGTAGTAGTAGTAGTGGTTGTGGTAGTTGTCGTAGTAGTAGTAGTAGTAGTAGTAATGGTAGTAGTACCAGTAGTAGTAGTAGTAGTAGTAGTAGTAGTAGTAGTAGTAGTAGTAGTAGTAGTAGTACTAGTAGTACTAGTAGTAGTAGTAGTAGCAGTAGTAGTAGTAGTAGTAGTAGTTGTTGTTGTTGTCAATGCTTCTGCTGTTCTTTGGCTGTGGGACCCCTGCTCTTCTTGCTTGATGGGACGCCAAAAGGGGGGTTTACGATTCTTGGGGTAGGGATTCCTTAATATGAACCCTATTATGGGAACCCTAATCCTAATCCCTACTAAACTAGGGATTCCTTAAAAAGAACCCAGTTATGGGAACCCTAATCCCTACTAAGCTAGGCATTCCTTAATATGAACCCTATTATGGGAACCCTAATCCCTACTAAGCTAGGCATTCCTTAATATGAACCCTATTATGGGAACCCTAATCCCTACTAAACTAGGGGTTCCTTAATATGAACCCTATTATGGGAACCCTAATCCCTACTAAACTAGGGGTTCCTTAATATGAACCCTATTATGGGAACCCTAATCCCTACTGAACGCACATACTCCTATGATTGCTGTTGCCTGAGTGCTCGGCCAGCGTGCCGCGTAGGAAGAGGGCCATGATGGGCCATGCGACAGCCGGATCCACCCCCCAATACATAAGAGTTGTAACTCTGGCTTCCGGCTTTCATTCATCTCGGAACCCTATCCCCTAAACACTATCTCCGATTTTGCAGAACTTTGCAACTCAGCAGGAACGTCGGGGCTGAGGCTTTGACTTACGCTCCCAGCTTCTGGGACTGCGACCCGCTTTCTGCATGGGTTCTTCAGCTTCGGCGTGCATGGTAGGGTTCAGGGTTTAGGGTCTGGGGCTTAGGGAGCTTGGGATCTAGGGATCCACCGCTCAAGAAATGATACCTCGAAGGTGCTGCTTCGTGTTTCGGCTGCGTCTGCACGGGTGAGTGTGCGAGTGAACATTCCTGCTTTGAGTCACCGACCAACCGTTCAACCACCAGAATGAAAATTTTAGTATGTCTTCGGTGTGGGTACTGGGATTGAGATGTGATCCGCTACGATGATCGGGACGCCCACATCTAGAAGTGCCAAACAGTGTTGTTGCCTCGCGCGACTAATGCACAATGTATGCTGCGACTGCATCAGCTCGGTGCAAAATCAAATGGGCAATGCATCTGGCACAACAGGGCCACAAGCTCCGACCTAAAACAAGGGTCGTGCTTCCATATCCTCATTGCCGTCGGTCGCGGCGAATTGCGGCCCCCTAAACCCTAAACCCTGAACCCTAAACCCTAAGCCCTAAGCCCTAGCCTTTCGAAGCTTGGGTCTATCTCAGTTTGGCCGTTGAAAAAGCTTCATGACTCAAACAGCATCGCTCTTCTGGTGGCTCCTGCTCTAATTCCTGCCATAAAACATAAACCACCCCGCGGGGGTGGGGGGGGGTGGGGGGGGGGCGGGGGCTTACTGAGCCCTGAGATTTTGAGGGCAAGTCAGGCTTGCACCGCCTATGCCGATGTTGCGTGTGGATAAGTGCCTCATTTTTGGAGACCAGAATAAACTAGACCCAAGAGTAACCTAGGAATAAAAAGGGTGCCCTTTTTGGTTTAAAGGGGCTTAATAAGGGAACCAGAACCCTAAAAAAGGTAATAAGGGCTTACTCTGGGTCCTAGTAAACGATCATTTTTTAGAGTTGTTGGCACCGCAGGGTTTTTGCACTGTCAGCCGGTGTTCTCGAGATGCAGGCGATGTGTGTTCAGGTGTGTTCAGGGTTAAAGGGAACTCCAGAAAGTTGGAATATGGAATAATGGCAGGATCCCCTATATTTTACCTTAAAGGGGTTACGATAATGATATTCCAACTTTCTGGCTTTTACTTTACTTGGGTTTTGTTGAGTTGAACCTCTAGGTTCATATTTGCTCTGATGTGAAAAACACCGAAGGCTGAAGGCTAGAACCCCGTCGAGACTTAAGCATTCTGGAGCTTAAGGTGCTTCAATCTCTAAAACCGCTCCGAATTCTAAGACACCTAAGGCCAAAGACTACAACCCCATCGAGACTAAGCATTATAGATTCTAAGCTGCTGCTGCTGCTGCAAAGGCAGCATGAAAGCAGACGAATGTCATTGTCCCCCCCCAACACCCCCTTCCAAAGCCGGAAGCCTGGAGCGAAAAACTTCGACCCCAATAAGAAGGCACCGGAAACCATTGCTTCTGGAATTCAAAAGTGTATGCATAAACCACGATGACGTGGGGGCTATGCTGGCCACTCCCTCGAGCAAGCCCTGCTTCGTTGGTTTATGGATTAACCTAGGGGGTGTAGGGGTCGTGAAAAATAGAATAGGAATGTCATGATGGTACTCTACATTAGCTAGGATACCCAGTAACCTAAGAATAAAAAGGCCTCTCTTTTTGGTATTGGGTAACTTTATAAGGAACCTAGGACTACAAAAAGGGAATAAGGGTACTACTGGGCATCCTAGTTAGGATGATTTAGGGCTCAGTGTCTGGAAGGTCGTACCGATGTGCACGGCAAAGGTCTTTTGCAATGTCTCGATGCTCTCGAGTCAGATGAAAAGCGACGCACCTCCGCAGTTGTAGCTGAGGCATCTGGCACCTACATGGCCAAGGCGGCCCAAACCACTATCGTTTAGGTACTGCCCCCTTACAGTAAGAGTCTATAATAGGGCTACTATTAAGGTCCCAATATAACTATATTGAATATTGTCCAACTATTACTGAGTGGGGGCCGTACCCAAACTATCCTCACTCAGACTTTGCAAATGAAGTCTGTCAGCGTGCGCACCTGGCATGCTCAAGTGGCAAGGAAAGGCCGATCGGCCACGGTTGTTATCAACGTAACATACTTAAAGGATCATGGGACTTAGTAACTAGGGTTACAATTAGGGTAACTATGCTTGTAACCCCGATTAAGGTACTTATAACCTTACTTACTAAGTCCCATGACCCTCCAAGTAGTCGCACTTGCACTTCCCTGCCTACCTGGATTACGCAACACAAGGACTGCCAAGGCTTGCTGTAGTCCAGAAGCAGCAAGGACGTCGTTTCCAAAGACGCTTGAACCGTATACCTAGAACCACATGGATGATTGTCAAAATTAAGGTTCCGTTTTGGGTCCCTCAATAATGCGGCACCTATTATTTAGGATACACAAAAAGGGACCCTAATTTTGACAACCACCCACATACGCCCGAGAACCAAATCCCACCTAACAATCCACTCTTTTGAGGTTCGGCCCTATCACTGTGGGGTCAGAACCTAGGTTGTACGTTATGCTGAAGTTATGGGGCTATAACCTACTGTCTTAGGGATTATCTTCTTGTGGGGTCATGCCCCACGATTTTTAGGCTGCGGGGCTACAAGCCGACCCTAAACCCTGAACACTCCAGCGTAGGCTCAGTGATAGTGGGCCTTAACAGTTCGAGGTCATTCACGCCTTTATGCTCAACCCTGTACAAAAAACAGTTAAACAATCTCAAGTTCGGTCGCTGTTGAGCCCAAGTGACCATGGTTCCTGTGCCGCCGATGCCGTTGACCCCCTGGCCGAAACGGTGGGGCTTGGGGCTGCGAGCTTCGGGATCAGGATTGTTTGGTGCTGTTGTAGAAGTTGGCACAATGTCATGTAGTTGGTGTGAGCCGTCGCAACATGTTGAAGTTATTGTCGCCACTGAAAGCTTCTATGACAGTGGCCACTAGTACTGTAGGGGCCTCAAAACATAGAAGAGGGCTTTAAGGCCTTGGGGCCCAAAATACTGTAACTATGGTAAGGAACCACCAAAATGGTGTTGGTAGTTATTTGGGCCCCTTCATTAACATGAAGGTTCTGGCCCCTGTCGTGCCATGGCTGCTGCTTACATTAGGGTTTAGGCTTTCGGGTTTAGGGTTTAAAGGGAACTCCAGAAAGTTGGAATATGGTTTCAGGGTAGGATACCCTATAATTTGCCATAGAAGGGTTAGGATAGTCATATTCCAACTTTCTGGCTTTTACCTTAGGAGCTTCCGGGGCTGAAGGTTGCAGTCTTCGTGACTTGCCGTGGACAAGTTCTCAGAACCTAGAGCGAGCACGGGACACCACCACATCGCCGGTCCCAGGGTTTAGGGTTCAGGGCAGGATTTTCGAGCATACCTGGCCTTTTTTCGGGGCCGTTTTGAGACAAGAGATAGACTACCCCTGGCTCCTTAGTTCTACTCGCATCCGTGGTAATTAGACAAACAAATACACATGACTATGACCATTTACACTGATGCTTGAAATCCATAAGCCTACCGAACCCCATAACCCTAAAGCCCTAAACATCAACAGCGCCCAAAACCCCGCAAAACCCATAGCCCCATCATACTTTGATGAGCCTCTGAACCCAAAGCCCTAACCGTTTATAGATCCCTTTATACTTTCATGAGACTCTTAACCCCAAGCCCTGAGCCTTTATCGATCCCCTTTACGGAACTCCTGGTTAGCTTTCAGGTCGCCAGCCTTTGGCTTGTCGGACCATGTCGGGCCAGCGATGTCCAAGTGAGCCCAGCTCACCTCCTGGCAACGATCCGACATGGGAGATTCCGAAAATAGGGGACCCTAATATACCACCCTGCAGAGTAGGATCCTTATTGTAGGGACCCCCAATATAATAAGGTACGAAACTCCCACGTTGTTGAAGCTCTTCAGGGTATCGGGCTTAAGGTTGTTTAAAGCTTTGAGGTCTAGGCAGGTTAGGCCTTAGGGATTTTGACTTAAACAGCAGCTCCGAAGGCTTAGGCTCAGGACTTGGAGACTTGCATCGTCCTTTCTGACTTCTCTTCAGCTTTGCTGAAGTGCCCTTCTAACAGGAACGGTGTATCCAACATGCCCTGCTAGAGTTCTTATGTTCTTATTGCAGAGGTGGGCTGCTGCATGTGGGATGGTAGTCACGACGATGCTAGCGACACTGAGATCATTCGGCACGAGCACTGTGCTAATTTGGCGACCCATAATGCTCGGCATGATACTTGTTGCTGTTGTTGTATGCTGGAGTTGTTGTTGCTGCTACTGCGGGGAATAGCACCGAGATGCTGACTGATGAGACAAGTGTTGAGGTTTGGGGTTTCGGGTTTAGGGACCACTACAGTTTCTACTACAGCATGATAGCTTGTTATGCGGCTCTGAGCAGGGCTGCATACACAAAGCATGGTACCAGTAATGAACATAAGTAAGTAAAATCATCATCATCATCATCGTTGCGATAAACATCTATAGAAATGACCACCAGTACTACTATAGTAAATAACAACAACGATGAATGAAAGTGAAAACAACCCCTTACCTACCTTCACATGCATACATATGTAATATGATGCTTTATATATATATATATATATATGAGAGAGAGAGAGAGAGAGAGAGAGAGAGAGAGAGAGAGAGAGAGAGAGAGAGAGTAAGATAAGAATATGAGATCTATCTATCTATCTATATATATATATGTGTGTATACATGTATACACACATATATATATATATATACACATATATCATCAAGGGCTATTACGTAATTACTTGCCATGATTGCACTGCAGACCCGCAAGACCGCCGGTCAAAGTCATATAGCATAAGGTTAGAGTTTCTGCTTGTAGTATGGTTTTGCCCCATTTCGCATCCTCTCGTGAGTTACACCCTATGCCCTGAAACCCTTTAGTGCGCTCCTTCTGCACGAACTTCTGGAGGAACAGCGCCGCTGTGATCGCACCTCCAAATCGAGGCCCTGTATTCTTCATGTCGGCGAAGTCGCCTTTCTGCTGTGGGGGCTTTAGGGTAGGGTTGAGCGTTTAGGGGTTCGCGAGAAACCTAAAGTAGCTACCTCGTACAAAGTACGTAGGCTTCTATAGTAGGAGTCTCTGTAGAGCTCTGTGTGTGTGTACATACGTACCCCGCGATATCGCACTGGGATCCTTTGGGTTGTTGAGAGAGACTTCCCGTGGTCCCACGACTTCGGGGCTGCTACCTCAGGGATTGTAACTGAGTTGTCCTTTAAGCCCTTTGACAATTATTTACTATTATGGCCCTCTACAAAATAGTAGGGGAAATCAAAAAGCTCCCAAAGGACAACCCAGATAATTGAGGTTTCGTAAGGGCGGCGGAGGACTCGACTTAGAAGCCTAAGTCTTGGCCCTTGGACTCCGAAGCGAGAACCTGCTACCTGGCAGTCATGCAACATGACTACTGAGGATCACACGAGAAAGTTAAAGGATACTAACCAGGCACTTTATGTACATGAAACAGCAATATGTATTCCTCTATAACCTAACGCAGACTCTGGCAGCAAGCCTTAGAACCCTTATAACCCCTACAGTAACTCTTGTGTCACAAATCTCCTAGAAGCCAAGTTCCAGAGCAGTAAACCCCAAAGTCTCAGACAGCCAGGGCTGAAAACCAACAATTCTCATAAACCCCCAAACTAAGCCCTAAACTCTCAATCCACCAGACAAGAAGCTTCTGGTTTTGATTTTTTTGTTTGGGCTTTGAAGCCTTTCTGAAACGTTGGAGAAACCCTCAACAGCCCCTTATAACCGTCTACAAAAACGGTCTGTGAAGCACGTATCATTAACCTTTGAAAGTCTCATAAAACCAACATGCACCACTACAAAGCCCCGTGAAACACTTCAAAGATACCCGGTTCCAGACCCTCCCCGCGCGAGACTCCGGCTTTTCAGGCCCTCGAAGTAATCATCCTGGCTTGAGAGGTTTCGACACGCTTATACTGGACTTTGAAGTAACCAGGGAGAAGAAAGTATAGACTTGTGTTTCATCTTTAAGGAACAGGCACCAAAAAAGTATTCAAGCATGGTACTCCAAACCCAGGTATAGGGGCCTAAGTAGTTAAATAAAGGTTCTGGAAGGCCTTACATAACAAGCTGTAGAAACAGCGGAATACCTAAACCCTTATGCCTGAATCCTGAACCCCAATACCCAAAACACCAATACCCTAACAGGCTTGGAAATGCGCCCGTACCAACTGATATGCTGACTGCTTCTCACGGCATAGCAGGATACATCGAAGAACAATACACCTTCTCAGCCACATGGTATGGGGGTCGCGCCCCCCATAAACCATAGCCTCAACCAACGCATTGGCAAGGGGAGTCGAACATCGAGATATGAACGAGTAACTAGTAGGTTTCAAAACAAATAAAGCCCAGAAGACATCCTTACTGATATTCCTAAGGAGCCCTGTCCCCCAAGTCCTAAACCCTGCCTGACCTCTACACCCCTCAGCCATAAACCCGAAACGGATACGTCTTAGGTTGAGGATGATAAACCTCCAATGAGCGTGTCGAGACAGCCAAGCTTCCTCAGCCTTCAAGGTCTAGGGTTTAGGGGTTTAGGTGTTTAGGCTTCGAGGGTTTGGGGCTTTTAAGAATCCTAGAACAGCCCTATACCCCCAACCCTAAACCGCACCAACCAGGCCTCCAGCGGCATGCGCCATACTTTCTCGCCTGTCTGCTTCGCTGCAGAGTCGATGCCTTCAGGCTGGGAATTGGGATCTAGGGTTGCCGGTTTAGGATTGAGGGCGTACCTTAGAAGGGGCCCCCACCCTGTAATAGTGACCATAAGGATTATATAGGATTATATTAGGGCCCTATTATATTTCTATTATACCACTATTACAGCGTGGGGGCAGCTTCTAAGGCGTACCTTTAGATCTTCCTTGTGGGATTTGGAATGGATCTGGGAACGAAGGTTTTTGGTTCGAGTTTGGATGATGTTTTGTCTTTTGGAGACGTGAGACTGAAGGTTCTAAACTTTGGATGAGGGCTTAGGTTTAAGGGCTTAGGGTCAATTTCAGCACTCTAAACACCCTAAAAACCCGAGCGTACCACAATTTCGGATATCTGGACATGTAGGAAAAGGCTTAGAGAGGGCTATGGGGTCCTGGCCTTGCGAAACGGCGGCCTTCACCGGATGTCTACGATAGTGGCCTTATGGGAGTTTCCGAAAATTCAGGGTACCTTATTTTGGGGTCCTTATCATAAGGATCCTACTATTTGGCGTACAATATTAGGGTCCCCTATTTTCGGAAACTCCCTTAATAATTATTACCTGTACTATTTGCGGGCTCCGTGTGATAATCATGTAGTATACTGGGCCCCCAAAAACCCTACTCTAACTATTAAGTCCCCTATATTAGGATTTTCGGTCATGGAGTTTAGGCTCTCGGCAAGGAGGAGGTTCAGGTCGCTTGGGCTTCGTGAGTAATTAATATAAGCAAGTACGGTCGCCGTTGTACTCATAACTACTAACCCTACTTACAGCTTACGTACTAAGTCTAATGATCCTTCAAGTAACTGTAACCTCTGCACCCTTCAGAGAATGGAGAGTCTCCTAAACAGAAAGCAACCCTAACCATAAACCCGCTACGCGGTCGAAAACCGAGATGCTCTGCAAGACACAGTACCCCCAAAATGTCAACCCCACCTCACCAACAAAAATGATAACGGACCAAGGGCACGCTGGGGCAGAAGCGCTGTGCCAGATCGTCTGAGTTGCTCCACATGCCTCAAAGCATTAAAGCATTGTGGCACGATTACTCTTCCGCAAACATAACTGTCATTCTCCTGTCGTTCTTTGCTGTCGTTGCCGTTGTCGGCGGCATCAACGTCCGCAGTTTCATTGCTGCTGCTTCTGTTGTTGTCGCCAGTGGACTAAAGCTAAGATGCAAACGCACAACACTAGCAGATGATGGTAGAAACATGCACTGTGAGGGCGACTGCGTATGACGAGCCGAAAAGATGAGGACAATTTTAATGGCAATGGCAACATGCATGAACAGACGAGAGCAAGGTCGTGGTCTTAGTTGCTGAGTTCATAATCCCCCAAATTTGTACACTTTCAGTTTTATACTGGGCAAAGTGCATCCGCTCAGCTACTAAGTGGTATGGAAAAGTTTGGGAGGCCCTGCATATCCGAGGCAGTGACCCGTGATGCCCTGGCCGAGGGCAACCATGCAGGCCCCTGTCAAGGTCGCGATGTCCACCACCTGTCTTGGTGGGATGATGAGCGAGAGAGACGGAGAGAGAGACGGAGAGAGAGAGAGAGAGACAGAGACAGAGAGAGAGAGAGAGAGAGACAGAGAGACAGAGAGACAGAGAGACAGAGAGACAGAGAGAGACAGAGAGAGACAGAGAGAGACAGAGAGACAGAGAGACAGAGAGACAGAGAGACAGAGAGACAGAGAGACAGAGAGAGACAGAGAGACAGAGAGACAGAGAGACAGAGAGACAGAGAGACAGAGAGACAGAGACACAGAGAGACAGAGAGACAGAGAGACAGAGAGACAGAGAGGAGAGAGAGTCTGAGAGAGAGTCTGGGAGACAGAGAGACAGAGAGACAGAGAGACAGAGAGACAGAGAGGAGAGAGAGTCTGAGAGAGAGTCTGAGAGAGAGAGAGGAGACAGAGAGACAGAGAGACAGAGAGACAGAGAGACAGAGAGACAGAGAGACAGAGAGACAGAGAGACAGAGAGGAGAGAGAGTCTGAGAGAGAGAGAGAGAGGAGAGAGTGGGTACGGCCTGATATTGCGAGAAATCGTGAATCCGCTTTGGCGGTCTATAGTACAGTTCCAGGTGGAGAACCCGCGCTTCTGAGAGCGTCTGGACACAAACCCTAAACCCTACACCCTAAACCCTAAACCGTTCCAGGAGCGCAACCCGTCGCTTCGGCTGTAACCTCTGGAGTTTCTGGGGATCTCTGCATGGATGTTGAATCTTGGCTGGCACCATATTAGGAATAAAGATGACCCTAATAAAACAACAAAACTAATGATAAGAAGACTAAGAATAACAAAATTATTCAAAACAAATGCTGTAGTAGCATAACAACCATAATCATAATGATTATGATGGCATTAGTTCTCAAAGCTTTAGAGGTGCAGACTGACAAGTTTAGAATATGGCCTTCAAAGCGAGCTGTTCTGATAGGTCCTGCGGAGCCTTGCTCAAACTCCGACAAAAAAGCAGTCACGGTACTTTTGAGTGTAATGTTACTCAACAGCAACCTGATGGCTGAGGGTTTAGGGTTTAGAGTTTAGGGTTTAGGGTATGGGAACCCTAAACCCTAAACCCTAAACCCTAAAGGTGCTTCAGGGGGGTCTGATTTGCCTCCGTGACGCCCTTCTCCTGGCAGAACAGCAGAGCGTCCGCCAAGGTTAGCCTCGACTTGGCACATTCTGGAAATTCTCAAACATAAAGGAGGGGACTTAGTAAGTAAGGTTATAAGTACCATAATTTGGGGTCATATGTAATTATAAGTATAGTTACCTTATTTATAACCCTAGTTACTAAGTCCCATGATCCTTTAAGTAAACCCTAAGATAGCACCATCAAGATAAGGACACCAAAGGAAGGTACCCCCATTTCTAAACGGAAGTCTCAGCAAACGCGAGCTCCTCCAAAAGTAGGATCCTTATCACAAGAACCAGCAGTGAACCCTAAGCCCTAAACCCCCAACCATCCCGCCTTTTATGGAGCCCCCTCTTCTCCTTCACGTGGGAGTTTCCGGAAATTCGGGGTACCTTGTTTCGGGGGTCCTTATAGTAAGGATCCCACTATTTAGGGTACCATATTAGGGTCCCCGATTTTCGGAACCTCCCCCGTTAAGCCCAGCCGACCTCAGAAGGAGCTAGCCTGCAACAGACAATAGGCAAGGAGAGCCCTAAACCCTAAACCCTAAACCCTAAAGAGAGACGCAAAGGATCAGATCAAGAGGCTTTGAAGCCCTACGTGAGTAGGACTATACTTTAAAGGGCTCCTTAAAGGGGATCTACAGGGGCTCTATTATAACAGGGGCTTTAGGGTCTACTTAAAGGATCATGGGACTTAGTAACTCGAGTCATAAGTATAGGGTGACTATACTTATAACCCCAATTAAGGTACTTTTAACCTTACTTACTAAGTCCCATGATCCTCCAAGTACATGATGCCCTGACTAAACCCTTAACCTTAAACCCCTAGCCACAGAGCTTCTGACTCCAAGACCTTGCAATCCCCAAAACAACCACTAAACTCTAAAACCCCGAAAATCTGAAACCTTGAACCCGAAGACCCTTCAACCCCGAAAAAAGGCCTACCAGTCTTGCTATCCGCAAATAGCCCCAAAACCTTAAGCCCTAAGCCTTAAATGTTCCTAAATCCCGTGAACCCCTAAACCCGAAACAAAAACACCCTGAACCCCAAACAGTAGCCAAAGCCTTCCCTCTGCGTCGGTGTTGTTCACCTGCTACACATGGAGTGGCAGTGTTTAGAGTGTTAAAGCATGTTAATGTTGATTCTTGGTGGTGTTAATCCCTAAACCCGAAACTCTGAACCCTAAACCTAATGCAGCGTTCTCGTCGGGTTTGGGGATGTAAGTCAGTGTTGAATTTCCCGGCTTCTGAGGGTGTAGGCCCTGGCTCAGGGGTTTCAAGGTACGGTCTTCATCAAGCCTTAATTGAGAGTAACAACAGCAAAATGGCAAGCAAAACTGATAATCATAACTAAAATAAGAATAATGGCAATCAGCATAAGGGCAACAAAAAAAGAATCCGCAAAATATCCAGGGCCGAAGCGGCCCCACGAGTGAGTAACCTTCTTCGGAACTTAGCACCAACGACAACAATAGACCTTCCAGTCAGCCCGGCACCCCCAACCCCCAACTCTAAAACCCGCCCTAAACCCCTACACCCCAAACCCTAAACCTCTCCCCGCTACATCTCTAAACCCCTCTGAACCCCTGTGTGCCTCGATGGTCGTTCCATCCATGGCGGTGATGATATCGCCTGGATGCAGCGCACCTGACCCCCGATCCAAAGCCCGGTTCTTAAGCTGTAAAGGGTTTAGGGTTTAAGGTTTGGTTTAGGGTTTAGGCTTTGGTTTAAGGTTGGCTTGGGTTGTCGGTTTCTAACACTTTCGGGAACTGTTCTTATACTTAGGATCTTAGTCTTCTTTGTTGTCTTTTTGGCGGATGTAGTCTGTTTGTGGTTCATCGTGATTCCTACTACCGGTGTCTTTGGTGGCCGGGGGGCCTGGGCTGCCCAGAAGATACTTTCGTCCTACAGAACTCAAGTAACGAAAACTCTCCACAAAATGTTCGTTTTGAGACCGTGTGTGCGCGGTTTATGGTGTTCTTTCAGAAGTATAACGGACGCAAGAGATCGGTTTCCTTTTTCAAGTTTTTGGGTCCAGGTCCTGATACCCGTAATAAGACGACATGGCAAACTTCTGATGCGCCTTTCACCTTTCCTGAGGCCTGAACCCCTTTCTGAATAGCAAACTTGAGCTTGCGCGCTCTCTCTCTCTCTCTCGATCTTCTTCCACGGGGCATGAGGGGTGTCTTAAGCCCCTCGGCCTTGAAAGCACCGCCGATGTTCGTGGGGCTTTAGGAGGAGCGTGAAAATCGAATGTGTTTCTCCCTGAGGTTTAAGTGGTATACCAAGAATAAATGTAGTTGTACAAGGACTCAGGATTCCCATTCGTCTCGGAAATGGCAGTTCAGCCTGGGGGGACTTAGTTCCCTTCACACGACATCGTACTGATTCACAAGCATCATTGCCAGGGTCACTGTCGATCGAGTTCCCCGACTTTGTAAATGGTTCACGATTGTACAGCTAAATCATGACAAAGATGGTGCTGTATGCAGCATTGGATGACATGACGACCCATATTCACAATACTTCTAACGGTTAACCCATGGGTACTCACACCTGAGCCACAATGGCTACGAGCATGGCGTCTGTGTCGTGATCAAGTTACACTGAGCGCATCATCGCCACACCATGTTGTCATGATCATGATCGAACGCTGCATTACATCATTACGCGCTTCGGCTCGAAAATGCACAGATTGCACTCTTGGAAAATAATTGGCTTTGCAAACTGCTTAGCCGGTTGTGAAATTCTTGACTTTCATCGCAGCTTTTGCTTCATTCATCAATGCAGCTTTCAGCTGCACTGACGTTTCGGCAGGAATCACACCTGTCGTTCCAAGGAAATTCACGCTGTGAAACACCGAAATTGGCAATTCTGCCGGCCACGATAATGCCGGGGTAATCCCCATAGGGCAACGTCGCGTTGGTAGGCGTTGACACAACCATTGATTTCACTTTATCAGAAACCGTCGCCTCTTGAAAGACGTTGATATCAATCGGGTCTTGAGTGGCCACGTAGAAGTCGTCGCCTGCTTGCACATACATCAAGACTGATGCATCCCATGAAGTCATGACTTGCTCCAATCAGGTATACTCAAGTAGGGCGTGTTTCCTGTGTAATCTCTCTCAGCAGTCTCAGTGAGCTTGCCCATGATGGTTTGGTTCGTAGAGAACTTTAAAGTCCATGAGAAAATGCTCTCGCGGAACGAATCCGCCACTGCATCGAGGGAGTTCAACATTGGCAATGCGCGCAGTTCAGTAAACCACGGCCTGCATGCTGAGTCGGGCGGGGTCATGTAGAGCTGGCGGTAGGATTCATACTTCGCCAAAATCCAAATATCGCCGACTTCAGTCTCGCCATAATGTTGATTGATGCTGAACGATCTGGCATCGTCGAAGGGAATACCGAGGATGCATCCAGCCTTTGCTTAGCTTTGCTCTGGGGTATGAGCCACAGGCAGTCCCTGTGGCCCGCTCGTTCGAGCAACCCCATCCCTGATTTTCAGAAGATGGGCTCAGCTGTATATCCTGATGCATCCAGCCCCTCTCTCTCTCTCTCTCTCTCTCTCTCTCTCTCTCTCTCTCTCTCTCTCTCTCTCTCTCTCTCTCTCTCTCTCTCTCTCTCTCTCTCTCTCTCTCTCTCTCTCTCTCTCTCTCTCTCTCTCTCTCTCTCTCTCTCTCTCTCTCTCTCTCTCTCTCTCTCTCTCTCTCTCTCTCTCTCTCTCTCTCTCTCTCTCTCTCTCTCTCTCTAGGTAGCTAGATACATACACAGGTAGCTAGATACATACACAGGTAGGCAGGTAAACAGGCAGATACGCAGACAAAGTAGATAGACCCATAGATCGGTAGATAAATAGATAGATAGATTGGCAAATCAGCACGTTAGATACAGAGACAGATAGACACGGAGATTGATACATGGATACATAGATAGACGGGTAGGTAGACAGACAGACCACACAAATAGCCAGTGAGAAAGATAGATGGGTACATACAGAGGTACATAGATTGGTACATAGATAACTAGGAAGGCACAGAGGTCGATAGAAAGAGAGAAAGACATACAAAAAGACAGACAAACAGGCAGCTAGACGGATACATAGATAGACAGATGGACCGAAAGATGGACCGACAGATCGACCGACACATAGGTAGTAGGATAGACAGACAGAAACAGATGGATAGGTAAATAGACAGATAGGTAAACGCATCGATAGATAGGTAGATAAGTAGAGAGATAGCAAGTAGGTAGACTCTAGACCATAGGCACATGGATAAGATATCTAGCTAGCCAACTGGCTAGCTAGCTTGGCAGATTGGTAGATAGACAGACCGACCGACCGACAGAAGTACAGAAAGAAAGACAGACAGCAGGACAGACACAGACAGACACAGACAAAGAGAGACAGACAGGGAGAGACAAAGAGAGACAGAGAGAGAGAGACAAGACAGACAGAGAGGGCCAGACAGAGAGAGACCGACGGAGAGAGACCGACGGGCAGACAGACAGATAAAGTATAGGTACATGCATAAATCAGTGCAAGCAATGCAACATCCGTCCAGGCGTGCAGGCAGGCAGGCATATACCGGTTACATACTCAGTTGGCTGATTACTCACATGACCAAGTTTGTGTTCAACACAAGGAAACCGCTTGAGTTTCCTAGCTACAAATCTCCGCACTTGACATGACGTGTAACTTCTAAAAGACCGTTCATTTCTGAATCTTTAACCTGGGCCCTGAACCCTACGTTCGAAATCCTCAAACCAAGGATCAAAGTCCCACAAGCCTCAACCTCAAAGCCTGGCCCACTGTAAACCCGGAACCAAAGCCCTGAAACCTTGCAAACCTTAATCTAGGGGCTTTAGTGATTAGCAAAAGGTTCTGGGTGATACTACACGGTAGCTGTTTTATGACTGTATGGGGAGAGGCTTACTTCTTGTGACAAATCACACTTACTAAAGCCCCTGCCTAGGTCTGGGCTTTTAACTAGCCCGGGAGACAAAGTATAAGCTTTTATTTCACAATGGCTCCTTTAAAAGAAAAGTATTAAGGTATGGTACTCCAAAGCCCAAATCCAAGGGTAAAAGGAGGGACCCTTAATACGGACCCCTAGGTATATCAACTTAATTTCGCTATTATATACCCATTATATAGCCCATTATAGGGTAGGGCTCCCCATTAAGGGTCCCTCCCTTTTGACCAAAGGTTAATTCCAAACCTCGGGACTGGCCCGACCTGGATTCCCGCTGACCATGTTCTCGCAGGTTGCGATCACAAAGTGCACTTCAACATCCTGGGATATCACAACTCGCTTTGGGGTTTAGGGGTGTTGGGGGTGGTAGTGCGGCTAAGGAGTTTAGGGGTTTAAGGGTTTAGAGGTCTACAGTCAGTGGGTTCAGGGTTCGGGTGTTTCATGGATGCCAGGAGGCTGTTCTGCAATTTCTCCCTCGTTCCCTTGCTCTCCCCCTCTCTCGGCCCCTCCCAGACCTAAGTCTGACGCCTCATGCCTGACGCCCTGAACCCCGGACACCGCCAGGAACATCCGGAACGCTGAACCCTGGGCACTAACCCCCATACAGAGAAACTCAACCCCTGAACCGTAAATCCTACACCCTAAACCCTAAACCCTACACCATAAAGCAAGGAAACAACAAATCGGGACTGGCCTTGGGCTTCAGCTGCGCTACGGCTGCAGCAGCCCCTAGGGTGCTCGCCGAGCCGCCTCAGAGGCAAGCAACCGCGAGAAACGGTTTAGGGTTTAGGGTTTAGGGTTTAGGGTAAGTAAGTGTTTTGAAAAAGTGCGTTGTAGGATATATGGAGGTTTTATATAAGCTCACCACCGGTCTCAACGAAGCTTGATAGGTTTTAGAAGGAGCTTGGTACAGGGCCTTAAATGATTAGACCCGGGTTTGGCGAGGGGTTCTTGCACTTCACAAAAGACCCGAACTCAATCACCGGTTCAGGTGGTGCGATTGAGGGGTCTTAGGGTTCCCCAAAAAAGCCCAATACCCCTTAATTAAGGAATATGGCTTAAATTATATAGGGCTTCATATTATGATTTAAGCCATATTCCTTAATTAAGGGGTATTGGGGTCTTAGGGTTCAGGGTTTAGAACTTAGGTGTGCGGATTGCGATCAGAGTTGACCACACAAGCCGCCGAGGGTTCCCAGATGTGGAGCCCTAACCCCCTCAAAGACTTTGATTGTTAAGGAAGACATAAGCCCCGAAACCCGTAACCCCTAAGCCCTAAAAGCTCAACCCACCCTGGCCCCAAACCCCAAAACCTTAAAAAAGAAAACCCGAAGCCTCGACAGCATAGTCGGGAGCTCCCCTCTCACTTAAGAAGGAACCACGACTTCTGCCGGGCCACCCATGTCGAACTTCATCATCTCAATCATCGATCCTCACCATGTCGGGGCTAAACCCTATATACACGAAACCACCAAATACCTAAACCTAAATCCCTTAAAAAACCCTGAACCCTCTTACCCTAAACCCCTTAACCAAAACCTAAGCCCCTGGACGTACCTGAGAAGACGTTAAAGCCCTTAACACCCCTTGCTATCTGAGCCATAAGAACGAAGCCCCGGAAAAGATCATACTTCTAGGATGCCCAGTAACCTAGGAATAAAAAGGGCGCCTTGTTTGGTATTGGGCAACTTTATAACAAACCTAGGACTACAAAAAGGGAATACGGGTACTTCTGGGCATCCTAGACTTCGGTTGTCTTTACAAGAGGCCGCCTTTCACCAGATGGCAAGTTACTGGAGTTGAGGATATAGGGCTCATTTTTGCTCAGTTGCTGAGTTCATAGGTCCCAGAAAGTGTACACTTTCAGTTTTACCCAAAAAGTGTCAACTGTATCCACTCAGCTACTCAGTTTATCTTCAGAACTTGGAGACTCTGCGTACAAGACCACAAACCTTCAACACCCTGAGGTCGCACGCAGACCAAGAGACTTTGCGAAACGAAGAAACCCTAGAGCCCCCTACAAAAATGTTTCAAGTTAACAGTTAGGGCCCTAAACCCTAAACCCCTAAACCCTAACCGCTTAGCTCAGGGCCTTGGGTCTCAGTGGCTCCTCACAGGGAGTTTCGCCCCATGCAGCCTCCGAGACCTCGTCCAGTCCACGGCCCCGATCCCAACGACACGCAAGCTTTTTAGGGAAGATGCACCCTAGACCCCTAAACCCCTTAACCCTAAACCCCTAAACCCCTAAACCCTGAACTAGTTGTCAATCAACGTTGCATCTTGGAATTCCTGCCTTCAGACGTCGGGCTTGCGCGATTGCAGACAGACTGCGACGAAGGAAGTCGGCACCTATGATTCCCGAAGCCTCCTTGACCTTGTCGTAGGGAGATATCAGCTCATTCAGCGCGAATGCATGGCTGAAATTGGCAGGCTCAGCGAAGTTGCTTCACATGTTCGGCCGGGTGGCATTGCTCCTTTAGCCAGGCACTACAACCTTCAGACAGTTACTAGGGATTTAGCGGTTTGGGTTGGGGAGTTTAGAAGGTCTAGTGGTTTATGGGGCTTACGGTCTGGGGTTTGGGAGGTTTACGGTCTTGGGTCTTACAGGGTCTAGGGCTTTAGGGTTGCGGGCATCACTGAAGGAACCCCTTGTTACGCTTGCTTCTCGGCCATGAGAATGACCTCCTCGTCCCAGTCGCCGGCACAGCCGAGCTCCTCTCACTGGCCTGGCCTGGATCCGCCTCCTCCTCTGTCTCAACCTTATAACTTCAAGGCCAGCTTTCAGCCCAAGAGTCATGACCCTTTTTGGTAAAAATTATTTATAAACTTTTTTTCTTGAGCTTACCTTAGCAAGGGTACACAAGCCTTCAGCCCGTGGGGCCCCCAAAAAGCACATAAGCAAAAATTGGGATGGGGATATCCCATCTAAAGCCCCTTATGATGAAGCCCAACAGGGACATCCCTCTAAAATGCTTATGCTTATGCACTTTTTTGGGTCCCTAAATATGGGGGTTCATGGTTGGTTCCCCTGCCTTCACCTCCGAAGAGCCCTGAACAGCACGCAGCACCGGAAAGTCATGAAAACGACTCGATTACGCACGTTTCACAAATAAAATACTTCAAGCAGCTTAGGACACTGAGCTTTAGAAAATGCCTAGGTGGCAACTAGAATTCCACAATGGATGAATATGTGACATACTTCTGCGAGACTTACCATAACAACTGCAGCAAGTAGCATGATTCAAAATACTCCAGATCACAGCAACACCACTATCATAAAGGTTAAGAAAGCAAGAGCTGGTGTACTGAACCTTGCCTGTAGAGCCTGTTGCAGAAGCCTGCAAAGAGCCCGTGTATCTTCTGGCTTCCCCAATACCCACAAGTTCAACTTTCAGAATCCACCTCATAAGAGCCCCAAAAGTTGAAAAGTTGGGCTTCGAACCACTAAGCACCCAAAAAAGCCCAACAACAACCCTAAACCCCAAAACCTAAACCCTAAACCCCAATCCCTATAAGTCTTAAGCCCCCACGAGTTCCGGGGAGCCTCCACCGGCTTTTAGATTATAGCCACCGGAGTCGAAGGTGAGTCCTGAAACAGCTCGCGTTTACTCTAACGGTTTAGGGTTTAGGGGTTGGGGTTGAGGCTTCCTTTTAGGGTTAAGGCTTCCTTGTTCAAAGTTGGGTTTAGGATGCGTTTAACACAGGCCTTACTTAGGGTTGAGGCTTCCCTATTTTTGGGGTTAAGGCTTCCTTCTTCAAAGTTGGGTTTAAGGTTGATCGAGGGCTTTGGGGTTTGAGTCCAACAAAGGCCTTCTTTTAGGGTTGAGGCTTCCTTTTCTTAAGTTTGGGTTTACAGTAAAAGCCAGAAAGTTGGAATATCATTATCGTAATCCCCTTTAAGGTAAATTATAGGGGATCCTACCACTAATCCATATTCCAACTTTCTGGAGTTCCCTTTACTAATATGTACCCTAAACCCTCAACCCAAAACCCTTATAGAATCCTTATAGATCCCACTAAGGAGCCCTTATAGATCCCTTTAAGGTTATTCCATATTCCAACTTTCTGGAGTTCCCTTTAGGGTTGAGGGTTTGGTCTGAGCTTTCGGCTTCAGGGTTTTGGGGTTTAGGGTTTAGGGTTTAGGGTTTAGGGTTTAGGGTTTTAGGGTTTAGGGGTTTTGGGGTTTTGGGGTTTAGGGTTTAGGGGTTTTAGGGTTTTAGGGGTTTTGGGTTTAGGGTTTTGGGTTTAGGGGGTTTTGGGGTTTAGGGTTTAGGGTTTAGGGGTTTTGGGGTTTTGGGGTTTTGGGTTTTAGGGTTTTAGGGTTTAGGGTTTAGGGTTTTAGGGTTTAGGGTTTAGGGTTTAGGGTTTAGGGTTTAGGGTTTAGGGGTTTAGGGGTTTAGGGTTTAGGGTTTAGGGTTTAGGGTGAAACATGTCGTAATCCATATTGGGCCTTGGCAAGCGTACTTGGGCTTCACTTGGGCTTCATCTGCTTTTACAAAGGTTGATCATGAGATCATAAACAGGAATTCATCGGCTCCTGCAAAAAAGGTTTTACTGGGGTATTGCTATACTTCTCAGAACTGGGTCCTGGCGCGTAGTATAGTCTGATACAGGGTCGCTATCATATACTCCGTTTGTTGACAAGGCATGTGTACGGCGGATTTTTGGGGAAACATGAGGTCTCATGATGGTCTGCACCTGACCACGGTCTTGCGGTACATCGTAGCATAAATGTGCAAGGACTATAAGGGCACATTGTTACATGCCTTCAGAAACTTATAAGGATCTCCATCAGGAGCTTTGAAGCTTGTATTGGAACATGCATTTTGTCCTGTGGGTGGGTGTAAAGCTGTCGTAAGGTTGGAAAAGCGCTTTTATACACTGTGTGGTCGGTTTTTAGGTGTTATGGCTCCAGGTTTATGGCCTTTAGGGATGGAATTTAGGCGAATTTTGTAGATTCATGCGTCATACCTGCATACACAGATGAGCTTTTCTCAACCGAATAGAAATTCTGTGTTTTCGCGTAATATGCACAACTTTCGTGGTCGAGTGTGCCTGGAGTTTACTTGTACTTACATAGACAACCCTAAACCCTAAACCCTAAACCCTAAACCTTAAACCCTAAACCCTAAACCCTAAACCCTAAACCCTAAACCCTAAAAGCCTGTTCCAATTATGGATTGGGGCCCCCTACTTAAAGGATCATGGGACTTAGTAACTAGGGTTATAAATAATGTAACTATACCTTTAAAGGGGATCTGTAGGGGTTCCATTATAAGAGGGGTTTTAGGGTCTACTTAGAGGATCATGGGACTTAGGAACTAGGGTTATAATTAGGGTTTCTGTACTTATAACCCCAATTAGGGGACTTATAACCTTACTTACTAAGTCCCCTGATCCTCCAAGTACATTACCCCGACTTCTTGGTTGCTGGGACTTAACGGCTGACCCAACGCTTTGAGGCCTTTCCCTGGTCCTTCGTGGATTACTTCTGGAACTATGGGGTTTATGTTTACCCTGAACCTTAAACCCAAAACCCTAAATCCTAAACTGCTAAAACCCTGAACTCTGAACTTTGGGGGCTTCCCCTAAACCTAAACCGCCAGCCTTTGCCCACGATGCCGATTTTCCTCTTCGCCGTGCCACCTGCAGCGATGCCACTGGCTCTCCAACCCCCCGAAGCATGACCCCAAAGTCGTAACCCTAAACCCTGAACCACCCTAAACACTAAATCCTAAATCCTAAACCCTAAACCCTAAATCCTAAACCCTAAACCCTAAACCCTATCTAAAGCCCTACAATATTTCCTAAATCCCAAACCCCCGGCAACCGCAAGCCTGAAGACCTGAAGTAGGGGTCTGGATAGGGGCGCCTGCTTGCGGCTCTAGGGTTACCCCCCCGAAGCAAAAACCCCAAAGTCGTAACTCTAAACTCTAAACCCACCCTAAACCCCTACCCTAAATCCCAAACACCCGACAGCCGCAAGCCGCCTGCTTACGGCTTTAGGGTTGAGGGCTTCCTATACTGAACCTAGAACCCTAGCAAAAATATAGTTTTAACTGTTTCTTAGGGATTATAATAACCAAAAATCAAAAATTATTTCTAAGTACCCCTAAGTTTAGGGCTGAGGAAGGGTAGCAGAGAAAGGCAGAGCTCCACTGCGAAACCGACTACGACGACATCCCTGATAGATCCAGATGGATGGTTGTCAGAATTAGGGTCCCTTTTGGCTTCCCTACATACTAGGCGCCGTACAATATTAGGGGCCCAAAAAGGGACCATAATTTTGACAACCATCCAGATAGATTACGACAGTGATTACGATAGTGGGAATGGCGACATGACTGAACGGACGAATAAGACCGATGTATGCAGCAGTCAGACAACCATGCTTTGGAAATCCACGTACCTCTGAGGCAAGGCTTTTGGAGGGGTTCCCTAAACCCTGACACCTACATCATTTAGTTTGCATGGATTAAGCATGTGGTATCAGGTAGTTCAAATATTACCATATTCATTGTTTTTGTTTTTGTCTGGGCTCTTCATAAGGGCTCCGAAAGGGTTCAGGGCTTAGGGTTCATAGGATCCCGTAGGCCCTGAACCTGCACCCTTTTTCCTAAGAAAGGGGCCTTCGTAATTGAACGTATGGCTTTGGCGAATATTGTAGTATAATCATATGATTGGTACATCTTCAGGATTCTATATTACGCTCCTACCATCTCCTACCCCTATATAGAAACCCCGGAATGCGGCCTGGCGAGTAGGTGAGATGGATCAGCCTTGCGCCGAGGTTCGACGCTTTGCTGACCGCCAGGAAGGAGCCCATACCAAGCTTCTCGCACTCCTCGCTTAGGGTTCGTATACGGGTTCTTCGAGGGCTGCTATAAGCGTGGATTTCGGACTTTAGGGTTAAAGGTTTAGGGTTTAGGGCTTGGGGTTTGGTGTGAAGAGTTTATCTGGGTGGGGTTGGGACCTGGGGTTTAGCGTTTAGCACCGAAAGCTTGTGGAGCCTCGGCTTGATCGGTCTTGGGCCTTCTCTCTGTGTGGCTTCATGCAGAGGTTTCAGGTTTCAGGATTGAGTGGTTGAGTCTAGGGTACTAGGAACTGCGGGCAATGTTGCAGCTTGCACTCTGTACGATCTACAGTGGTGCAAAATCATATCTTTAAGCTACGTCGCAACAGCCAGCAAGTCAGACCTTCACCCTAAGCCCATGGGTAACAGGGGGGACCCTTAATAAGGACCCCTAGGTACATACCCTTAATATAGCCATTATATACCCATTATATAGCTCCTTTTCCCCTTTGACAAACCCTGAACCCTAAACCATAAACCGGAGCGGATCGAAGCAGCGGGCGGTGCGGAAGATCGCCGCTACTCGACGGACCGGTGACCGGAGAGGCTTCGTCACAAAGGATGCCTGCGAGAAAGATGTGTGATGATGTGTGTACATACTGTTGCCGAGAGGGAAAGCTACGTTTAGACACTCGCTGCGACTCTACTACGTCCCTTGTAGAATTTGTCGGTTAGGTTTTCTGGTTTAAAGATGGGAAGAATAAAGCCCAGAAGCCTTACAGCACACAAAAAATACCTAAAACCGTACAGCTTCTAAACAAACCCTGAAACCATACAATCCCTTACTAAACCCCTCATCCCGACTTAGTACGGCAGCAAGTTTGCTCCGTTCTACCCATTCTAGCTGTCTGGGCGTGCCAAGCCTGCCGGCGGCATGCTTACCATAATCATGCGAATATTAAACATGATAACAGCAAGAACAAAAAGAAAACAACGAAACCAACAGTTAACAATAACAATTAATAATAATGCCACTAAGTATATTAATATCTGTAATAAGCGGAAAAAGAAATATATTCTAAGACCGTGGTCCTTTTCGTCCAAGACCTCCGCCTTAAGACCAAGGCGACCTGCTGAGGCTTATGTGGTTCAGGGCTTACGGATTAGGGCTTACGGTTTAGGGGTTAGGGTTTAGGGCTTAAAGATTAGGGTTTAGGGTTTAGGGCTTAAAGATTAGGGTTTAGGGTTTAGGACTTACGATGTTGCTGTGGCATGGCGCCTTGGTAATATCTGGCGACTGCGCTTTTTCGAGTGCTTCGTATTGTGGTGATCGGCCGTTATAGCCGGATGGTGGGGGCAAGCTTTTGCGACGACTTTCCCTTACGTGCCGTTTACATTCGTGGTGCAACGCCTCTTTTCGAAGCATGAATGGGAGTTTCCGACAATACGGGACCCTAGTATAGAACCTCAACCTCTATAGCGCGATTGCCAGTATTAACCATATGATCAACACTTTCTGCAAGGACCCTCGACAAGGGATCCCTAGTTTGAAGAAATGCCCATGTGTCAATCAAGACAGCACTGCGCTGAAACCCTGTTGGAGAGGGAGGATGTTCCAAGTTCGGGTTGAGGGAGTCAGGGTTTTGAGTCGCTCTATTTGGGGGGGGGGGGCCGGGCTTGGTATAGCAAGCTCATATAGCTTTTGTAATTGAGGTTCATTGGTTGAAGTTGCTGGAAAGGCATCGCAGAGCTCTTGCTAGGAGGAGGAGGAGGAGGAGGAGGAGGAGGAGGAGGAGCATTTTTGGCCGGGGCCTGTTCTTCCGAAGTTGGGATTAAGTGGAGTCATATCGAGGCCTTACAGTAATAGCTCGAACAGCGCTTGCATGAGGTGATTACCATCTAAATCGGTCAATCGTATGATTACTACGGATTCCGACGCCTGTCTTACTTCTGAAATACTCATGTGGGAAGAAAAGCCCAAACTTTCAGAAAGACACTGCCTGATAAGAGCCCCTCAGACTTGAAAAGTTTGGCTTTGAAACACTAAGGACCCCAAAAAAACAACAAAAAACTAAACCCCAAAACCTAAACCCTAAACCCTGATCCCTAAACCCTAAACCCTAACAATTACTCGGGGCCCAAATAATGAGAATACGTTTTTTTGGTGGGGGGGCACATTTTAAAATAATTGTGATAAGGAGCCACCGAAATCGTGCCTCAAAAGGTAGGATGAAGGTAGGTGGGGTATTCCCACATAAGAGTCCTTATATGAGGGATCCTTGATCTTACCTACCTTCATCCCACGTGTTGAGGCCTCCGATTTAAGGGGGTCGGGGAGTTTGGGGCTTGGGGGCTGGGGTTTGAGGTGTGGGAGCTTCGCGCTTTTAGGGTTTAGGGTCTAGAATGTTTTTAAGGGCTGAGAATTTAAAGTTTAGGGTCTAGGGTTTAGAATTTACACCTTAAGGTCTAGAGTTTAGGGTTTAGGGTTTAGAGTTTAGGGTGTAGAGTTTAGGGTTTAGAGTTCCGGAGGGCTGGCTGTTGGAGCGTTGGGATTTGGGGCTTGATGGCCTTAGGTTTTGGGGTTTAGAAATGTCGGTGTTGGGGTTAAATGCAATACCCTTCCTTAGAACCACGCTAAACATGATATGTTTAATACGGTTAATGATACAAATCCTGCATTACCCGTAATAAGGAACATACCATGATTCCCATAGTCTGAAGGGTCCTTAAGGCAATGCAGGATTTCTATCATCAACAGTACTCTCTTGGGCTTTATATGATCGAGACCCCCAAAAATTCTGTAGGTTAGGGACGGCTTTGGGCTCAGGGATGCAGCCGGCTCCGAGAGCTGAAGGAAGATTGAAAGTCCTAAAGCCTTACTTGGAGGATCATGGGACTTAGTAAGTAAGGTTATAAGTACCTTAATTGGGGTTATAAGTATAGTTACCCTAATTATAACCCTAGTTACTAAGTGCCATGATCCTTTAAGTATGGGTGGTTGTGAAAATGATCGTCCCTTTTGGGGGTCCCTAGTCTAGTACATGGTCCCAAATATTTAGGGTACCCCAAAAGGGACCATCATGTTGACAACTACCCTTACAGTAGAAGCCAGAAAGTTGGAACATCATTAGCCTCATGCCCTTAAGGTGCGGTATAAGGGCTCCTAGCACTAAACCTCCAAAGCCATGTTCCAACTTTCGGGCTTCTACTATAAGGACCACCCTTTCAAAGCCTTGAAGCCGTGTCAAAACCCTCATCCTGTAAGCCACCCACAAGTATGAGAGGTTATGCCGAAGACCTAAGAACCCTACATAATCTTTAAGCCCCCCCATAAGTATAAGATTCAGCGCTTGGGTGGTTATACCTAAGAATACCTTCCCGCAACCTAAACCATCTGAAACCCGTAGCCAGACAACTCAGCCGACCTGCCTGCCATCTCGGCAGCTGTGTTCGCCAGATTCAGTGGGTCGACGATGTTCGCCGGCGCATTCCTTAGTAGTTCATTACGGTGCTTGTCCGCTGAGGGGTTTACATACTGTAGTGTTTCGGTTCAGGGGTTCGAGCTTAAGCCTTTTCGACGAGGTACCGTAAGCGATAGGTCTGTTCTTCAGTAGGGAGCTCTACACAAGCCTGAAACCGAAAGTTGAAGATTCTAAGCGACAGGCACGAGCTCCCTCGCGAAGATAACGCCAGAGGCAATCGCTGCTGCCTGACATCAGATTTATGGCGTTATCCCGGAGACTATCCTTTTGAGGATATGTGCCAGGAAGGCATAATGAGGAGCCGTAAACATCTACGTCTCATCGGAAAAACTTAGCACAGCTGCCAGAGGGCGTGGGATGCAAGCTTCTGGCATCCTACCATCTTTGCGCTTAATTAAGATGTATGGGTTGCGGTTCAGGGTTTCGGGTTTACCTCATACTAAAACTTGGGCTCAGGGATTTATAATAGTTTTGCTCGTGTATGGGAACCACAAAGGGATACGGTTCATGATGGTGCAAACTGCAGTGTTTGCCGAGACCCTCGTGTCGAACCTGCCAACTACTCGCTACTGCACAGGCACTGGAACAATGAAAGCTGTGCGTTGATTCGGTGGGGGGGCGGGCACCAGGCATACTAGGCATACTGCGCCAACACATTGGTACATGGGTAGTTCTTTGAATTACGGTCCCTGTGAAGCTGCTTTTATAAGGGGGCCGTACATTTTGAAGGACCCAAAAAGGGACCCTAATTTTTGTCAAACATCCTTCGTTCTGGTCCATGGCACCTTGTGAACAGCTGTCCCAAGTCATTCACTCTTTGAATCCCAAGAACTGAAAACAAATGGTATCCCAGTCGCAGAGTCGCCACCAGCCAGGAGCCCGAGTCAGGAAACCCTGCAAACCTGGAACATGCCCAAACTCACTTTAAACCTTAAACCCGAAGCATAAAAACCCTGAAGCCCAACCTAATCCCTGAACCCGTGAAGCCCCGGGGGGTTAACCCCGAGCCCAAAAACTCCTCGTTTGTTGCGGTGCAGAGAGGGGTCCCTGATGCACTTCCGCAAACGAACATGAAAAGCATCCTTTGAATTGGGATCTCTATTGCACTCCCGCGAAAGGACATGAAAAAGGTTTCTAGGCATTTCTAGGTGTTGGGTTTAAATTTGACGTCATGGGCGCGGGGCCCATTACGGACAACCGCCCGGACCTTATGAGGGAATCTGCGGACTTAGATGAGCTAGAGCTGAATCCGAAACCTTGAAACTGCTAAGCCGCCCCTCGACCCCGACCTTAAAGCCCAAAGCCCAAGAGCCCTATTCTGAAAAGGTTTAAGGGATTTGTTTTGGGCTCTGGGTATGGACAATGGAGCTAAACCCTAAACCCCTGAAGTTCAAAATAAACTTCAAAGAACAAGACATGACGGTTATGAGCCCGCGCCTTCGTAAAGGCCTCGTCGCTACCGTCCGGGAAGCCCAACATCTCCAGTGAATCTGGGCCCTTCGGCGCCTCTCAACGTGAAGCATCTTCCACTCCCCAAATAACCGAGCAGCCCTCCCTCGAAAGAACAAAAAGCGAAACCCAAACCCGACACCTGAAACCCTGAACCCCAACCTTTCAAACCTCAAACCCTGAACCCGCAACCCCAAACGCCAATCTAGCCTCATGTGAAGAGCTCATGATGGCTGCCCCCTCAACTTCCAGCCCCTGAAACCCCAAACCGTGAGCCCGCAGCCCGAAACATTTAAACCTTACACCCAAATCTCAAAACTTAAAACCCTACACCGCAAACCCTAAACCCAAACCCTATAAACCTTATACATCCAGTTCATAAACCCCATAACAACCCTAAACCCAAACCCTGGGGCCTTATCTTTGTCCGGAGTCTTGGCTCCCTGGAACCGTTTGTCAGCCTTGGCGCGAGGATCCAGTAATATGGAGGCCTTCTGCAGGTTCCTTTTAAAGGGGTCTACTATAAGGGCTACTATAAGGGCTTGGAGTAAGGGGCTCAATAGTTGGAACAGGGTTTTGGGGCCCACTATACTATAATGAATGATGAGAATAAGGAGCCCCCAACATAGCATGGGTAATTATGAAGGCCCCTACAATAGAGGTCTGGCGATTCAGGGGTTTAAGGTTTAGAGTTCAGGTCTTAAGAGAGATTTAAGGCTTTAGGGGTTTAGGGTTTAGGGGCTTTGGGTTTAGGGTTTGCGGGTTTAGGGTTCAGGGGTTACGGTTCCGGGGTTAGGGCTTTGGCAGACGTTCTGGGGCGCAGGTCTTGGAATCAACATTCAGGCATTCAGCAAAGGCCAATGTGTTCCACTTTTACGACATTCTCGAAATGCTCTCGCACCTAGGAGCATGCTCCGCGCGATGTCGCTACGAATTACCAGGCACTCCACCATCATTTGTGTTGCTGCTATTATTGGGATGCTGACTATCATTTTGACGGCAATCAGATTAGATGGAAGCTTCAGCAAATACAAAACTCTTGGAAGGAATCCCAGACCATTTTCTGAAGTGAAATCCCATATAACGCCCTTCTTAAAACCTTGCCTGCGTTGAGCCCCCGACTCTTGCGAACAATTTTAAGGGATGGGGCTGTGCTGTACTTACCAGATCGCCAGACTCGGTATATGGAAAGCTGCAGAGAATCCTGCCGAATGCCTCTTAGTCACTCCGAATGAAGAAATGGACACGTATGATACTTCCTACGCAATCACAATAGGGTAATAAGCAGAGATAGGATTCGTGCATCGTCGCCAACGGAATGCCAGCGCGGCTCCGAGCTTGTGGTTTAAGCTTTGGCTTGCAAGGGTACGAGAATGCACATTTGCTGCTTTTCTTCTCCAATGGAGCAACCAACTCTGTGCGCTTGAAGCAACGAAGCAGTGTGAGACCTGACTTGCCTTGCACGGTCCCATTCCCAAGCCGGCACGACTTGTTTTGGAATTATGTTCTAGTTTAAACTGAGCATGGGACCTGGGGACCTGAGGACCTGAGGGCCTGAGTGCCGCTACGGACCTGCCGCGCCAGAGTTGCCAGACCTGGCTGGTAGATCCCAGCCGGACAGCGGTTTGGGGGTTTAGGGTTCAAGGGCGAGCGGCCTTCGGTCCAAGAAAGCAGCCAGCTTGCCGTTCAGCGTGGGCTGTGTAGATCCAACCCACTTAACTGGGCGGGCTCGTTTTTAGTTTGGCCGTGTCTTGACCCTCCGTAGCCGAACATGCATGACTGCCACTATAGCTGTTCAAAGATGTCAGCCAAGCTACTTCTCTTCTGCAAAATAAGGGGTAAAGCCAAGCGTCATCAAGCATGTGACTGCTTGGCATGCATTCCAGGGTATCATGGAGGCCTTCAATCCGACAAGTTGCAGGACAGAAGGGCTCAGCACGTGGAGGCGGATGCTGCAGTTGTTCAGGGTCTCCATGTACTCCTTCGTGAACCTCTGCCGGAAGAAGCCACCCTCGACCAGTGCAATGTTCCTGACAGAAGTATCAGGCTCAGGACTGTCAGGACTCAATCAGTCAAGAAAGCATGACACTGGTTGAAAGCTGTCCTGGATTCAACACTTTGCCACTTGTCCCCTGCCATGTTGCCTGGCAGCTGCCTTTGCCCCATCTTCTTCATACCCGTCTTCAGCATGAAGGACTCAGCGAAGGCTGCCACATCGGAGGCGTAGTAGGAGACGGCAACTGCCCATCTTGCTGGACCGGGAGGATCCAGCCCTGCCACTCTGGGCTGTCGTCCTGGGAATTAGAAGCAAAAGATGAAACCGGCATGATGCGAAACTGGATTCCATGCGCAAAGGACTTGCAACCAAGTGTCCGCAAACGATTTCAACTGACAGCCCCTTGCCACCCCATTCACAATATACGGGTTGAGCAAGATATGCGCAGACCCTCGCTCGATTGTGAACTGCCCCAACAACTCCCGGACGCAGCAGCTCAACTCGGATGTGCAAAGTCAGAGTTGACACATCTCAACATGTACAATAAGGTCATGTCTGCATTGCTTCTTCGGCACAACCTGAAACTTTTGTGGGGAACTCTGCCGGGCAGAGAGCTGCGACAGCAATGTCGAGAGGCCGTCGAACTGCACTTCATCCTCAAAAGGAAATCCTGGGATGTTGGACACGACAGTGTGCTGTGCTTGCAAGGCTAAATCAGGACTTCAGGATATCCGGCGCCGTGGAGAGGGCCCTGCCAGCAATCTGTCATGCACACCCACCAACTCTACCACCCTCAGCAACCCTGACTGAAAACTGCTTCTCTGATGGTCAAGCAAGTCACGTGCAATGTTGTTGCACGTCGTCCGCCGTGATCTTTAATATGCCAGGCTGCAGAAGCGGAAACATCGTGGATGGAACGACGTCAGCGATCACTGCATCGGAAACAGCGGCCGTGGAAGACACGGCGTCATGCGGAGTGACGGTCGTCGTCATCTTGCCCATGACAGATCCCCAAGCTCTCAGACCTAGGTTCCGAGTTCCTGGGGACCTCGGGGCCTGGGAGCCAAAAGGCAATTTCATGTCGTCGCTCACTGATCTCTATCGCAAGGCAGGCAAAGCGCCGCATCAGGCTGCTCTGGTGCAACAATCAATGTGCAGACCCCTACAAATCAAGCCAGGCGGGCCTTTTGATCTGCTTTTTCTGAATCTTCAGCTGGGGGTCCTAACCTTTGCCTGGGACCCTAAACAGCAACGGCAAAAGAAAATTAAAAATCCCCGAATGCTCTACCCAGTTGCATCAGCCTCAACAGAATGAAAGCATCAAAACCACACAGGCTTTGATAAAGCTTGGCAAAATCAAGTGACCCTCGTAACGCCGTACACGAGTCATATACAGCATCTAGCATACACTGCTACCTTGCAGGATCCTGATATTGGAGCTTTAATAATGGAACAGGATGTTGGGGTACACGGTGGATGGACGAAATTTTGAACCACCTGTATGCATCCTCTGTTTAACATTGGCGCGTGCTGCCTGCCAGGTGCCAACTCTTTCGAACAAATCGGTGCGGCGTTTCTAAGTACCATTGTCAAAACGGAGGCAAGGGGGTTTCGACCGAATGCAATGTTCAAAATGGTGCAAGAGTTCCCACGACTGATACACGTACTATAGCAAGGGTACATTGCTAGAAACTTTCGAACCCGTAACCCTCAACTCTACCCTACCTGCGACCCCAAACCCTACAAAATAGTAGGTTATGACCCCTTAATTCGATAGCGGTAGGTTTTTGGATCCACAGGTAAACCACTAAGATCTAAACCCTGCGAACCCAGGCCTTCGTTGCCCCTGCTTTTGGGCCCCGCACATGAAGACCCAGGAAAAAGCCTTCAGCAAGAGCCTGCTCTCACTACCTAAACCATGGTTGGGATAGGGTTAAAAACTTAATTTCTATTCCTTATTGGGTTGAAGTACCCATAAAAGTGCAAAATGTTACCCAACTATGACAAAGCTACAGGGGTAAGGGTTGAGGGTTTAGGGGTGCGGTGGACTTCCCTCTCTCCGCTGTTGCCCACCCTGTATCTCAGACCATCAGAACGACTAGAGCAAACAGTGTTATGTACGTTTCTGCTTTATGAGGGGGGCCTTATTCATTGAAATGGTGGGTAGTGTTTTTGGAAAGATTATATGCGGATTGTATCGGGATACTGTTACGTACGCAGTATTCTTAAGGGGCTGACCACCCTAGCCCAGAAAAGGTTAACCTTTTCAACTGTGGCAGGATTATATCACACCCAAACGGTTCAAGCGCGACGTGAGATAAGCTGCGTCCCCAGCGAAATGCGTGAGCCGAGCTTCGCAAATTTGCGAATTAAGCTCAGAAGGGTGGTGGGAAGCAAACCGGCAACGGACGAGGTGTGATTCGGGGGATGCGATACGAATGTTTCAGGACCCGGACTCCTGGCACTATTCTTACCTTTGGTAAGTAGGGAATGGAGGAATGGGGTACAATTATAACTACTATTACTACCATTCTTCCATTCCCTACTAACCAAAGGTAAGTATTGAGGATTCAAGGAGGTGTCGGACGTGAGACCCCGAAAGGAGGTTCTGGTCGGGATTTCAGAGAAGGAACAACACTGGTGAGCTCGTAAGATGACAGTGATCGCAGATTCTCCCGGGAATAAGGCGGTTTAGAATTTAGGGTTCAGGGTTTCAATGAAGTATCAAGGAGATCAAGACACATAACAAAGGTGCCTGCGGCTTGCGCTAATGCCTCCGGGGGCAGTCGGGCGGCTCCAAAGCGGTCAGAAGGTTAAAGGTTACCTATTCAGCTACTAAGATAATGGGTAGCATGATGAGGGAGACCCCTTAAAGGGTACCCCTTCTGAACCCTACTTCTGGCTCTCTTACAAGGGAGCTTATTGAGAGGGTCTATATCCCTGAGGGTCCCCCTAATCCTGACTCCCAAAAAATGGACCCCGTTGTAGTACCCGAGAGCACCCTTAAAGGGGACCCTATTATAGAAACCTATACTACCCTTGTGGGACCTCTGTCTATAATGCATGCAGACCCCTGATACTGACCCTAGTAATTGGACCCTAAAGGAGCCCCTTCTAGGACCCTAAACCCAAAGCCCTCAAAGGAGCCCCTTCAAGGACCCTAAGCCCTCAACCCTAAACCCCTAAACCCTAAACCCTAAACTCCTAAACCCTAAACCCTAAACCCCTAAACCCCTAAGCCCTAAACCCGAAACCCTAATTCAGACCCCTATTTCCTGGTTTGGCCCTCCTGGGCTTTCCCCGAACCCTCCAAGGAGGCCTGGGGATCGAGACCTTCAGAGAAGGCAACGCCGACGGAGCCACCTGCGTTTAGGATTTAGGGTTTGGGGTTTAGGATGTAAGGTTGAGGGTTTAGGGGTTTAGGGGTTTAGGGGTTTAGGGGTTTAGGGGTTTAGGGGTTTAGGGTTTAGGGTTTAGGGTTTAGGGTTTGGGGGTTTTCCTGTGACAACAAACCCCACAAAATAGTAGGTTATGACCCCTTAATTCGATAGTAGAACCCTTAAAACGCTAGGTTTTTGGATCCACAGGTAGGATTTAGGATTTAGGGTTTAGGGGCAGTTTTGATGGGCAACTCAAGGTCTTTAGACTCCGCCTGTACCCCCAAACCCTAGAACATACTAGGTTCTGACTCACAATGATAGGGTGAGTGCATGAAGCAGAATTCTATACTGAACTTAGAACCCTAGCAAAAATTTAATTTTAGCTGTTTCTTAGGGGTTATAATAACCAAAGATTAAAAATGTATTTCTAAGTATCCCTAAGAATTTAGGGTTTTGGATCCACAGGTCAGCCTGAGTTGAACCCCAGAAGCCTTACGAACTACCTCGAGGCTTTAGGGTTTAGGGTTTAGGGTTTAGGGCTTTGGGTTTAGGGTTGAGGGTTTAGGGTTTAGGATTTAGGGTCTAGGGTTTAGGGTTGAGGGTTTAGGGTTTAGGCTTTACGGTTTAGGATTTAGGGCTTGGGGTTAGGGTTAGGATTTAGGGCTTAGGGTTTAGGGTTTAGTGCCAAAGATCCTATGATTAAGGACAATCCTGTACGAAACACATAACGAGGAACCCTACACCAGAGGCCGGTATGTTTATTTACGGACTCATAACAAGCATAAGGACCCCGAAACATAAAAGCCTAAACTGAGCCCGAAACCCTCAAAAAACAAGTTAGGGTATGACGGGGATCTGGCAGAACTGGCGAAGCCCAGAGTTCGGAAACCCGGACCCAGAGAGCCCAATACCCCTTAATTCACCACTATACCTTGAATTATGAGGGGCTTCATATTGTGGTTGAAGCTATATTCCTTAAGGGGTATTCCGCTCCCTGGCTCCTGTTCAGGGTTAAGGTTAAGTGAATTGCAGTGAGCATGGATTGACGGCGAGGCGAGAGAGCGTGCGCCACATCCCTGCTGCGCGACCATTCCTCCTCTCGACCACGCCAGCCGCCGCGGGGGGAAACAGCGCCCAGAAGACTCCAGAGGTCGTCCACGTACAGCCATGTAGTGCTTCATGAAGGGCTTTCTAGGAATTCAAAAGGCTTCGGTATAGAATTTGGAATCTTTTCTCAATGGGTTTTTGGGGATGTTGGAGAATGTTTGTATGGGATAGAACCCTAAACCCTGAACTGAACCCTAAAAACTTAAACCCTAGACCCCTAGACCTAAACCCTAAACTGCTAAACACTGGTTCCGCCTTTGAGCCACTAGACTCTCGATCCCTGAACACTGAACCCTGAAACCTTACACCCAAAATCAAGTTCCCTAACCCTAAACACTCAAGAGCAGGATAAATAGAAATTGTGTCAACTTCGCTTCGAACCTTATTTTCATTAATTCGAAATTTTATTAAAATTACATGTGTAGGAAGAGATCCCAGCCCTTTTCTTCCGCAGCATCAGTCCAGCTCCCACAGCCCAGCCCAGCCCCAGGTTCCCAGCCCAAGCCCGGCCCAGCCCCAGCTCGCCAGCCACAGCCGACTCCCAATCCAGGGACCCTTAATGGGGACCCCTACCCTATAATGGGCTATATAATGGGTATACAATAGCTATATTAAGGGTATATACCCCAAGATTAAAACTGCAAAGCCCAGCAGCCAGCCCCAGCCCCCAGCCCCCCCAGCCCCAGCCCAGCCCATTCCCAAAATCAAAACTCCAAAGAAAACGTGTCCCTCAAGACCCCGGACCCAAACCCTATACAATTTCTATAAACCCCTAAACCCTAAACCCTATAAACCCTAAACCCTATAAACCCCAAACCCTAAAACCATGAAAAGGTTCCCAGTTTCGGTGCCTTTGAGCCCCTTCACCGCCCCCGCCGCCGCGGCGCCCGCCGCCCTGGCGTCGGCCTCCGCCGCCCCGAGGCCGACAAAGACCACGCGGCTGGGGCCGGCCTGCAGAACCCAGGGAGCCCAATACCCCTTAAGGTTTAGGGTTTTTTTTTTTTTTTGAACGCCTTTTTCCGACTGCGGACAGAGGGAATCCCTTCTTCAGAGAAGGCGTAATTCGGCCATCCGCACACACTCACTTGCAGGAGAGAAAAGTGCGACACAGCCGAACCCCAACCATCTCAGGTTGGCCATGCAATGGGGATCATGCAGGCTGGCCCTGCATGCATAGCACGGTGTGGAAGATTCTCAACAGCACCGTGTTTCAATGTAGAATATCTTGGAAGTCGTCACGGCAGCATGCACCTAATTCCAATTCTGGAATATCTCGAAAGTCATCACGCCAACATGCACTTAATTCAAATCTCAGGAGTACATTTCGGACATCATCACGCTCATATTGCATCTAATTCAGCTGCGGGAATATCAGAAGGTCATCTGGTTCCGCATGGGAGAAAAAGCTGTACGTAGCTCAGAGCTGCACCCAAGATCGTCCTTTGGAAGGGGCTACGACCCTTGCACTGATTGCATGCCAAAGCCGAAGTTCGTCTCAAACGGTCAAAAAAAAACCCAATTCTTTGAGGGCAGCTTCCTGGAAAGCCGGCCCAAACCCTCGTAGAGACCATCTCCGGTAGCAGCGCAAGCCGATTGGGTCAACCACTGGCGATGGCGGAGGCTATGGAGCCCGAGCTTCTCGGTGACCTCCGCTGGCATTCGGCAAGTCCTGCTTGTTGGCGAAGACCAGAAGTACGACATCACGATTCTCGTTGTCGTTGAACGTTTTGCTGAGTTTCTCGCGGCATCCTCCATGCCATCATGATCGTTGCCGTCAACCACGTAGATCAAGCCAGTCGTACCCTTGGTCTGGAGGCTGGTCCCCAACAGGGCTTCCATGGTACGTTCGAGAGTGAGGGAGGCGCTTCCAAAGAAGTATTTGAGCCAGGGTCTTGAGCCATAGCCATTTAAGGTTTAGGGTTTAGGGTTTAGGGTTTAGCAATATACCTTAAATCATAAGGGGCTTCATATTATGATTTAAGTTAGATTCCTTAATTAAGGGGTATTGGGCTCTCTGGGAAGAGGTGGGAAGCCTAGGGTTCCTTTAAAGGGTTCCTTTTAAAGGGGTCTAGAAAGGTTATTATGAGGGTTTATAGGGTTCAAGGGGTTCCTTCTAAAGGGGTCTCTAAAGATTATTATGAGGGTCTGTAGGGTTCAGGGGGTTCCTTTTAAAGGGGTCTCTAAAGATTATTCTGAGGGTCTGTAGGGTTCAGGGGGTTCCTTTTAAAGGGGTCTCTAAAGGTTATTATGAGGGTCTGTAGGGTTCAGGGTTTAGAGGTGCCTGCTCAACGGGTTTTGGAAGCCTTAAAGGGATCTACAAGAGGTTGAAAGGGTTTAGGGACTCCTTAAAGGGATCTATAGGGCTTCTTTAGGGCTTAAGGCTTAGCGTAAGTAAGGCCTGCACAAGGGTTTTGGAAGCCTTAGAGGGCTATAAGGGGTTTAGGGTTTATAGGGTTTCCTTAGACTCCTTAAAGGGATCTATCTATAAGGGGTTTATAAGGGATCTATAAGGGGGTTATAGGGTCTAGGGTTTAGGATTTATAAGGAGTTTATAGGGTTTGTTTAGGGTTCTGTAAAAGGGGATCATGGGATTTAGTAAGTGAGGCCGGGCTTTTATACTGCAATAGATTATAGAACTTTTTTTGTACTGTCATGTATTATAGTATATTATAATATACTATAATATCCTAGAATATACCTATGAGATATTTCTATAGCAGAGTATACTATAATATTTTTTGGCGTGGGGCTTAAGGCATCCTTGAAGTTTCTGCTTTTAAGGGTTCGGGGTTTTGGGGCCGGCGGGGTTTGTAGGAGATTTATAGTTTAGGGTTTAGGCTTGTACGAGATATATAGTGTACCGGACGGTTGTACATGGTGATACAGAAGGAGTACAGAGGCAGGGCTGACGCCGTAAGGCCTAGAGCCTGCAGGGTTTCGGGTCTTGGCTACCTTGTGGCTTCTACTGCAACTCCTGACTCTTGAAGCCTGAATACTGACACTACAGTAGAAGCCAGAAAGTTGGAATATGATTATCCTAGACCCTTTAAGGTAAATTATAAGGTATCCTACCCTGAAACCATATTCCAACTTTCTGGAGTTCCCTTTAGGGCGCAGGGGATTTCAGTTCTACATTTTGTTGACGGAGCCCCTGGGAAAGACCCTTAATCGTCGGAACAATGCTTCGGGGTATATTATGGTACAACAAGTATATAGCCACTGTAAGGCATAGTAGATATTCCGACCCCTAGAGACTTCTCAAGTCTGCTACTTCTCAGGACCGACCCTTCCGATTTCGCAAAACTTGTGGAAGCGCCAGCTCTGTCTCTTGGCACACTTGAATCGAAACTGGATGAGTTTAGGATGTGGTGGAAGGGCTTCATGAGTTTTGGGGCTTTGTTGGCTTCTCGGTAGGGGTCTTAAGGGCTTACGCTGTTCGAGCTCTTGTTTCTGTTTGGCGGTTTTAAAATTTATATAGGGGGCTCATACAGGGGCTTAGTGTACTAAAATTCTAGCTGGGAGCCCTAACATAAGGAATACCGCACTAAATGTTGAAGCCACTATTAAGGCTTCAGGAGCTTCAGGGTGTGGGATTTATGGATTCAAATTTTGAGGGTTTGAGGCTGCTTTCAGGGTTCCGGGTGGAGCATTCAGGGTTCATGGATTTGGGTATTCAGGGCTTGCATCATGGCGCGTTGCTAAAGCACGTCGGCCTTACGAACGAAACCCTCTTCTAGCTCCCTGAAAGTGTACCCTTCCTTGGCGAAACTCTTATAGCACCCCTTAAACTTCCTTAAACCACTGCCGCTCGGAGGGACCCGACAGTCGCTCTCTAACAAGACAAAAACGCCTTGATATAGGGGCCAGAAGAATTCGAATACGCTTTGGGTGGTACAGTCTGGCATACGCATAACAAGGAACCCTCCGGAATTGTACGTAGTCCCACAACAACTGAAAACCTCTCGAAACAAGCATAACACGCTTTGAGAACCCCTGTAAGAACATAATGTAGCGGCGTTCATAATTTGAATAGGATTTTGGGGACCTTCATACTTTAAACTGTAAATAGAATAAGGAACCCCCAAAATAGACTTGGCAATTATTTAGGCCCTGTTGTACTTGCAACTGCTCGGATTTGGGCTTGGGATTCACGGTTTAGGTTGCCTGATAAAGCCTGCACAAGAAACGCTTCGTCCCGTGGGACTCTGCCTAGACTAGACACAAGGAGCGAGTTCAGGATTTAGGGCTTGAGGGAATTGGGGTTTAGGGTTTAGGGGTTGAGGGACTAATGGTTTAGGGTTTAGGGGTTGAGGGATTAGGGGCTTAGGATTTAGGGGTTGAGTCTTGAGGGTCTTCGGGTGTAGGGTTTAGGACAAGTCCATGTTTAGAGAAAGAGGCGTGTGAGATCCAGGCGCGGATCCCGGCCGCAACGAGGAGGACCCTGAACCCAAAACCTTCAGGAAGATAGACCAGAAACCCAAAACTCCACCGAACCCCTAACCTCAAAACCTAAAACCCGAACACTAAACCTAAAAGATTACGATGGGCCCCTCAGAAAAAAGGCAAAGTGCAAAGCGGCGCCTTGCCGAAAAGGGGCAGCGTAGCTGCTGTGCCAGGTTTGGCTTCAAACTCCTCTCTCTGGGTGTGGGAGAGGGACAAAGCGGGGTTTGGGGTTTAGGGGTGTTGGGATCCCTTTAAAGGGATGTGTGTGAGAAGGATAATGCGGGGTTTGGGGTTTAGGGGTTTGGGGATCCCTTTAAAGGGATCCATAGGGGTACTAGAAGGCTATCATAGGGTTTAGGGCTTCGGGGCTTTGGTTTTAGGGTTTCGGGGTTTAAACTTTAGAGCTTAGGCTAAGGGTTCTATCGGCTGAGAGAGTACGGCGTGTTGTAGGACCCTGCAAGGTGGTGAAGGCGTAGGCTTTGGGATCTTGAAGCTCCCAGAAACTGAACCCCTGCACCTCTAAACCCGCAAACCTTAAACCTTAAACCCTAGCTCCTTAAATCCTGAACCCTGAAACCTAAACCTTAAACCCTAAACCCTGAACCTTAAACCCTAACTCCTGAACCCTAAAATTCTAGACCCTCGACCCTAAACACGAACCCTGGCCCTGTGGCCTTCGTTGAGCCTGTCTTTGGCTCCGGGCTAGTTGCCTCTTTCTCCAAAGATGGCTCAGCATTTACAAGGCTTAGAGTTAAGGGTTTACATAGTCATGGTAGTCGTAGTCGTCAGCGTCGTCGTCGTCATCCTAGTCGTAGTCGTAGTCGTCGTCGTAGTAGCACCAGTATGAGGAGCGGTGGCCGCCCCACCGTCGTAGTAAAGGTCTACTGTCCTTCGGAACATCAGACACCCCAATCAACTCTGAACGGGTAAACCCCCTAAACCCTCAAACCCTAACCCCTAAACCCCCGCGAAGCCCTGAACCCGAAACCCAAAACCCTCCCCGAGCCTCTGCGGCGAGGAAAGCACTGAGGGCGCCTGCGGAGAAGGCCAAAGCACTGGGCTGCATTTAGTCTAAGGACTCTAGGGGCCGTACTGTTTTTTTTTTTTGCAGAATTCCTTTTTGGGGCTCGATATTTAAAGGCTTTAGGGGTTTTGGGGGTCTAATCATTGGAATATGGTTCTGTATGGGTTCTCAAATGCGAAAGGATTTGAAATGAGGGTTTTGTGCGGGGCTACGATAGCCCTTAAGCACCTGACTAGGGTCTTGGGGCATGTCATACTGTAAATAAGCAGGGGCTACACACTACTGGCAATGGCTCCCACAAGTGCAAGCAGTAGGGCTTAAAGGCATAGGGCTATGATCATGATGGTGTATCATAGGGACCCTTAACGGGGTTAGGAGGAGGGGGTAGGGGACCAGACCATACTTCCTTACATAAGCCTTACTAGGTCCTTATTATGGGCATTAAGGCCCCCTCCCCCCCTCCCCCTACCCACTAAGGGTCCCTATGAGTGTATCAACATAGTTTTTAGTTGTCTCTTAGGGATTACAGGAACCAAAAATTAACAAATATTTCTGAATACCGCTCAGATCCTGCGTGCACGGATCTGGTGGTACACATGTCTACATTGTCTACGCTCCTGAAGTCCTAAATATCGATGCGGTTGGAAAACCTCGGCTGCAACATAGGATGACACAGGCCTATATCAGATGTATATGTGCTCTCTCTCTCTCTCTCTCTCACACACGCACCACACCGCACAAACGAAGCAAACCTTCACATAAGCCACGAACACTCTCTAAAAACCTTGACTGACATTGAGCCTCTGACACATCCCTGTGACGTTGGACTCTGAGCTATAGGAGTAAGAAGTCCGTGAATCGGCGGAGGGTGAACATGCAACTACTCGGCTGACAGTTTTGGGCCTTGAATACCACATCCTAAGCCCCCTCGCCTTAGCCCCAAGCCCACCTGCTGTCCAGGCAACTGGTGGATCCTTCTCCTACTAGGTGTGGTTGGCCCAAGCAAACCACAAACCTACTCGGGACCGAGACATCTGGACATTTGAGCTACCGAAACATTACAAAAAACGGAAGCTCCCTAAACCCTAAAACCCCTAAACTTCAAAACCCTAAAGCCTAACAGCTAAACGGACAAAGCCAAAGCTCAGCTGGCCATAGGCAAATATACCCTTTTCAAACCTTACTTACCCAATGAGCCACAGAAATGAAAGCTTAAACTTTCCGATTTCTACTGAACTATAAGAGCCCAAAAAGGTTTGAAGGTTGGGTACTGGGGATCTGAGATACCCCTTTGAAGAGCCTCCCACTGAGCCATCGAGATCTTCGAAGTCCGCAGGCAGGTCCGCCGTTTTCACCTCTGCGTCGTCTTCCTGCCATGGTCACGACTCGGGTTTGGGGTTTAGAGTTTAGGCCATAGGGTTCCTTTAATAAGGGATCTAAATGGGTGTAGGGGTTTAGGGTTTTAGGGCTCAAGGTGTAGGGCTTAGGCTTTAGGGTTTTCGGGGAACCAGTTCCGCCTGCTACAACCAGAACAGGAAGAAGGAAGACAGACACTTGCAAACCTACAAAAGCAGCGAGTCAGGTAGTGAGCAAGCAAGACACTTACCTTTGGTTAGTAGGGAATGGAAGAATGGTAGTAATAGTAGTTGTAATTGTACCCCATTCCTCCCTTCCCTACTAACCAATTGTAAGGACATGCTTCATGTAACCGATTAGTGACAAACCTTCCCTCCCCAAGGACCGGACTATGGGTGGTTGTCAAAATGATGGTCCCTTCTTTGGTTCATTACTTTAATACGGCACCTATGATTAAGGGTACCCAAAAAGGGCCCTTAATTTTGACAACTACCCATATGGATCCTAAGCAACTTAGGGCTCCCTAAAATCCTACTCCACAAAGCCATGGATCTCTGCACTCCAACACCCTGTAGCTCCAAACCCCGTGATGCCCAGACCCAAACCCCGAAAACCCACCGAAAATACCTGCACCAGAAAAAAAACTGCGCAATCGTCTAGAAACGAAAACCCTAAATCCGCCTGAGCCCTAAACCCTAAACCCTAAACCCTAAACCCTAGACCCTAAACCCTAAACCCGCCTACATCCGCAAGCCCTCCAAGAGACCTTCGGGCTCCCATATGCTGTTCACAGCCCAAGGAAAAGCGGGGGAGGGAGGGGGGGGGGGGCTCGAAAGAATAACGGTTTAGGGTTAAGGGCTTAGGGCCTAGAGCTTAGGGTTTAGGATTTTAGGGCTGCGGCTTTACGGCTTTACGGTTTAGGGCTTAGGGTTTGGGGCTTCGGGGTGATGACATTATCATGAATGCGAAACGACTAGGTAGCAAGCAATACGCGGTAACTAGCAAGTAGTAATAATTGGTCATAGCAAGCAGCAGTAGCAGTCAATAGCGAGAATCAAACAACAAGGAGATTCTCCTAAAAGTGTTCAAGCATCCACAAAGACGACAAAGATGATAAGGATGAAAGTGGTGGGGACAATAAGAAAGCGCACAGCTAAGATGAACAACTCAGGGAAAATGATTAAGCAGCAATAGAGAAACAGAGCAATGGATTCCCATCACAACGACACCAGCAAGTACGAACTTTGCAGCAGCATAACCGTCAACCTGAAGACAAGAGAAGGCAAACCGTGATGCATACATGCATGCATACATACATACTTACGTGCGTACGTACATGCATGGTTACATCATATGTACAAACATGCATACATATGAGCATGCATACATATAGGTATAGACATGCACACACATACATACATACATACATACTCACTCTCTCTGGGGGCTCTTGCCCCGAGGTGGCTGCTGTGAGCACTTACCGTCGGCCTGCACTCCCGGCTGTGTTATACATACATACATACATACATTCATACATACATATATATGTATAGATTCATATTATATTATGTGTACATAGTATATGTGTGTGGATGTACATATATGGAAGAGTACGTACATATGCGAAGTACATGTACATCTGTGTTACATACATATGCATACAGGCATACATGCTGACATGCATACATACATACATAAACACAAACATACATACAAACTCACGTGGGCACCCAGGTGCATACGTACATACGTACAGACAGACAGCCAGCCAGCAAGGCAGGCAGGCAGGCACGCACACACACACACACAGACAGACATACATGCATAGTCACCAGAAATAGACACAAGCAGACATGTGAATGTGAACATTGAATAAACAACAGGCATGAATTGAATTGAGTACTGCACCTACCCTGTAACAGTCTATATTAAAGGTCATTTTTAAACAAATAAATAAATAAATAAATATATATATATATATACGTATATATCGTGAAACTATCATCCAACAGTACAGAGTGCGGGCCGTATCCAAGATATACAGGCAGTAGTTTTAATGAAAGAATAAGACTAGGTTCCTCAGTAGCCCCTTTATAAGAAGGGTAACCTTTTTACTACCATTCGGTTTTAATAAGGCAATCCGAAAATGAAAAAGGGCGAAAGGGCCCTACTGAGGAACCTAGTAGACCCTAAACACCTATAGATCCCTCATAGAACCCGTCAAGGACCCCTTTAAGGAAGCTTTTAAGGATCCCTACAGTAGAAGCCCAAAAGTTGGAAACCAAATAGCCTGAATCCTTAAGAGTAATGTATAAGGAATCCCAGCACTAATTGCCCTTAATCAGGTTTCCAACTTTTTGGGGCTTACTATAATTATAAGGAAATAGGACACCAGCCTTGGCTTTGAGGAACACGACCAGCGCATCGCCTGGACACAACGTCGCCGGTCTCGAATTGGTAGTTTCCGGAAATTCGGGGTATCCTAGGGTTCCTTTCAAGGGCTACTATAAGGGTACTACAAGGGCTCCTTTAAAGGGCTCTATAAGAGTTTAGCGCTTCCGAAAATAAGGGTATCTTATTTCGGGGTCGTTACAATAAGGATCCTACTATTTAGGGTGCTATATTAGGCTCCCCTTCTTTCTGAAACACCCAATTGCTTCGGGGTGTCGCGTGAGGGCTCCAGGGTTCGACGAGGGCTTCTTGTTAGGGCTGAAGAAGAGTTCCTTCAGACTCACTGGCCGAAAACCCAAGGGAATGAAAGTTGAAACTATCAGAATTGACTAAGAAATTCAAAAGGTGAAAAGTTGAGTTTACAGCCAATAAGCAGAAGCTCTGCGTGTGTTCCTGTAATCCTGTAAAGGCTCTGCGTTTTTTTGTTGGGAGGCTATTGTTGAAACTTGCTTGGGTTTATGGGTCCCCCTTAGGTTGGGGGGGGTGTCGGTTTGAGATTATGCATGGGCTTTGGGTGCAGTATGGTATCGTGAAAAAGCACTGTAATGGGATACTACCAGCATTACTAATTACATCTAAAACCTCAGGCATCTATACTACGTTTCTACACACGGCTTTAAGGTTTCGTGCTGTGGGGTTTGGGATTCTGGTGGTTTCAGGCTTTACAGTTTCAGGGCTTTGGATGTAGCGTCGTTTGGGGTTCGGATGCTCTTTTAGGGTTTAGGGTTTACCTTTCCGAACTGTGTTGCAGAGGGCTCCTGGTTTGGGAGACGATGTCAGCGGTCGGCTGCTGTCGGAACCCCTCCGCTTGTCAGGACCTGGCCAGGATGCAGGTTCGAGGGCTCTCCCAGCCATAGAAAGCTCCATGCCAGCATTGACTAAACCCTACACCCTAAACCCTAAACCTTAACACCCTAAACCTTAAACCCTGAATCCTACACCCTAAATCCTAAACTCTAAACCTAAACCTTAGGCCCTAAACCTTAAACCCTAAATCCTACACCCTAAATCCTAAACCCTAAATCCTAAACCCTAGACCCTCAACTCTAAACTCTAAATTCTAAACCCTAAATCCTAAACTCTAGACCCTCAACTCTAAACTCTAAATTCTAAACCCTAAATCCTAAACTCTAGACCCTCAACTCTAAACTCTAAATTCTAAACCCTAAATCCTAAACTCTAGACCCTCAACTCTAAACTCTAAATTCTAAACCCGAAATCCTAAACTCTAGACCCTCAACTCTAAACTCTAAATTCTAAACCCTAAATCCTAAACTCTAGACCCTCAACTCTAAACTCTAAATTCTAAACCCTAAATCCTAAACCCTAGACCCTCAACTCTAAACTCTAAATTCTAAACATTAAATCCTAAACTCTAGACCCTCAACTCTAAACTCTAAATTCTAAACCCTAAATCCTAAACTCTAGACCCTCAACTCTAAACTCTAAATTCTAAACCCTAAATCCTAAACTCTAGACCCTCAACTCTAAACTCTAAATTCTAAACCCTAAATCCTAAACTCTAGACCCTCAACTCTAAACTCTAAATTCTAAACATTAAATCCTAAACTCTAGACCCTCAACTCTAAACTCTAAATTCTAAACCCTAAATCCTAAACTCTAGACCCTCAACTCTAAACTCTAAATTCTAAACCCTAAATCCTAAACTCTAGACCCTCAACTCTAAACTCTAAGTTCTAAACCCTAAATCCTAAACTCTAGACCCTCAACTCTAAACTCTAAGTTCCAAACCCTAAATCCTAAACTCTAGACCCTCAACTCTAAACTCTAAGTTCTAAACCCTAAATCCTAAACTCTAGACCCTCAACCCTCAGGCTCAGGCCGGGGTCCTCCAGAGCACTGCAGACCCCGTCTCTCACGGACTCAGGACACCCCCTTCTCTCCAAGGGTAAAAGGAGGGGCCCCTAATAAGGACCCCTAGGTATACTTACTTACCCAATAAGCCACAGAAATGAAAGGTTAAACTTTCCGATTCCTACTAAACTATAAGAGCCCAAAAAGTTAAAAGGTTGGGTATTGGGGATCTAAGAATAAGGACCCCTAGGTATATACCCATAATATAGCTATTATATACCCAGTATATAGTCCATCATAGGGTAGGGGTCCCCATTAAGGGTCCCTCCCTTTCCCCTTTGATCCTCAAAAACCATGATCTCAATTGCTAAATCGCTACACCCCGACTCTCGACACTCTACAACCAGAAAGCCTACAATGTTTCCCAAAATCGAAAAACTCCGAGCCCCCGAACGCCCTTACAGAACTCTTGAAGCCCTATCGAACTGGGAACCAAAACTCAAAACCTCTGACCCCCTGTCTAAATAACGAACACACCCGAAAGCGACTCTAGAATCCGTATAGAACCTCTTCATAGAAGCCCCTAAACGGCCCTAAACCCTACAACCTAAAACCTAAACCCTAAACCCTAACCGCCCTAACCTAAATCCTAAAACCTAAATGAACCCTAAACCCTAAATCTAAACCCTAAACCCTAACCTAAATCCTAAAACCTAAGTGAACCCTAAACCCTAAACAGCCCGGAAGAGCCACGTCTTGCGCCTTTCCAGTCTGCCACGGACGCATCGGAGAGCGCAGCTGAGGGACCGGCCTCAAAGTGGATCTAAGGAGCTTTTGATAGTTAGAATAGGGTTAGGGTTTAGGGTTTAGGGCTTAGGGTTTAGGGTTAGTTAAGGTCCTGGCCTGAATAAGTAGAACAAGGTTTTGGAGTACATGGGGAGGGTTTACGATTCTATCTAGTTGAGGCAGCCTTGAGCACTATGTCTCTCCGTCTCCTTTATGAACATGTTTTGACACTTTGAGCGATGTTACACTGTTACACTTTTTTCATGCGTGCGCTGAGGATATTTCCTCTAGAGGATCATCTTGCACATCGCTCAAGCTTGGCGAGAGTCCAGCTCGTTTCAATGATCGCTCAGTTTGCCCCGTAGATCCCTTTTAAAGGAACCCTATAGATCCCTTTTACAGGAACCCTATAGATCCCTTTTAAAGGAACCCTTACAGGGTCCCTTTTAAAGGAACCCTTCTAGGATCCCTTTTAAAGGAACCCTTATAGGATCCCTTTAAAGGAACCCTTATAGGATCCCGTTAAAGGAACCCTAAATCCCGTTGAATTGCTACCCATCCACCAGGCCGCTGAGGCTGCCGCAGCCCAGCCCATGATGAACCCGTAATAATCTGGATGTTTAGTTTAAAAGAATTGAAAGTATACCCCCTTAGAACCATAATAAACTTGCTATGTTTAAGATTCTCTTGGGTTTTATAATATGAACAAAAATAAAGCATAATTCCGATGGGACTATAGTTGAAAGTACACAAACTTGGCCTGCCATGTGCAAACATCTGCAAAACTCTCACCCCCTAACCCCTCAACCCTAAGCCCTACACTCTGACGACACCACCTGAAGCTGGGAGTCAGTCCATGCTTCGTGGAAACTTACGAACATGGGTTCTAGAAAGGTTGCTTTAGGGGCTCTTTGGTGGGGGGGATTAGAGGTTAAGGATTTTAGGAGTTAAAGTATAGGGGCTTAGGGTTTTAGGCTTAGGATTTGGGATTTAGCTTTCAGGTTCCAGGTACACGGCTTCAGGGTTTAGGGTATGCGAAACAGTGTTCAAGGGTATGGGCCTAAGCCTCATGCATCAAAGCTCCTCCAACCGGGCACGAAATAAGAAGTACCCTACCTTGAAGCCCAAATTTTAAAGCCTGAATCCCAAACCCTAAACCCTAAACCCTAGACCCTGACCCTCAGGGCCGACCCGCTCCACGTTTCGCAGATTCAGCCCTAACCCCCGAACCTTGTTCCGAAAGTACGGGACCCTAATATGGTACCCTAAACCTAAGAAGTAGGATCCTCATTACCGCATCAAGCATCTGAGAGCCTGCATTCCGCGCCTATAACCAAAAAGTCTAGACCCTAAGACACCAGCTTCCCAAAACCAAAATCCAAAAACAAAAATCCAGCTTTTGATCTTTTTCCCTAAACCCTCCGATTTGAGCTCATGTTTCTGCAACCGAGAAGCGCCCTCTCGGAAGAGGATGGACTCCGGCCTCAGGACCCAAATTTCTGTGCCTTTTTAATCAAGGTTCAGGGTTTAGAAGTGAAGTTACACATCTATATATATATATATATATATATATTCATATACACATCTATATACGTATACATAATATATGTAGGGAAAGATATGGTGTGTGTGTATATATATATATATATATATATATATATATATATATATATATACGTGATAAAGGCTTTGAAAGGGCTGTATATACGGCTTCTATAACAGCTTTCTAACCCTTCGAAAGACAAGGGCTGCTCTGTAAGGGTGTAAGACGGGCTTCACAAGACATTGAGAAGAGCGATTGCTTAGCACTGGAGGGGTTTGACAAGAGCTGTGTCTTTAAGCCCTGGACCCTCAACTGTCACTACAAACCCTAAACCTCTGAACCTTAAAGCCCAATCCCCGAAATTTCGAAGCCCCGAAACCCCAACAAAGGGCCTGGCAATGGTGTGATAACGTGTAGGGAGCTCCTGGGACTCGGGGTCTCTTTTGTTGCGCCCAAAATAGTAGCGGCTTGAAAGTGCAGCGCTGCACACCGCCGCTCCACTTCCATCCAGTGTAAGAGTCAGGCCACGCCTTGCCGCAGACGGAATGTGGCAGCTTGTGAAGAGGAGCCAGGGAGCTCTTTGCGAGCAGGTGTTTGCCACTCAGGAGGTTGCTGCACCGTTCCAGCGGCACGCTTGCCCAGAAATCTTCTTCGAGATCTGATTGGCACTGTAGCATTTGATACCGATCTACTTGCGAAACATTCTGCGTCGCCACTAATCAGGCGGGAGTGAAGCGAACCGACATCGCTAGCCGCTAGCCCATGATGTTGAGATGCAGATGCTTGATGAGTTTGGCTTGTTTGCCAGTTCCGACAGCATGCCCCGCCGTGAGGAAGTGGAACATGCCCGTATCGGCTCGTCGGCCGATTGAAAGCAACGGTTGGCTGTCCGGGTTTGGGGCCACCGGCGGGGCGGAGGAGGTGGGACCTGAATGACCGCCTGGTCTGTCGGAATATCTCCCCAATCAGCAATGTGACGCTGCCAGCCAGTCATCGAGGCCGATTGGACCGTCTTCAAGTCCTCACCCACAATTGCAGTGAAGAAGGGAGCCACACTGCACAATCCGAAGCAAGTGGGAAGACGGCGACACTTTTCAACAACGCGCTGCGCAGGTACACGCTGCTCCTTGCAAAGCCAACATTTCCAGCTAATGTGCTCGATGGTGGGGGAACCACGACCACAAGCGCATCGAACTTCGCGCGCTTGCCGTCAGTGACGATGGTCACGCTCCGGAGTCATCACCCCTACAGTAAGAAGCAGTCGAAGCACCTTCAGCTTGGCCCTAGGGTCATGTGCGGGAAGCAGTGAAGCAACAAGACTTTGGCCAAGTCAAATTTTCAACTGAAGTGAATGAGCTTCGAAGGCTAGCTCGTGCAAATGAGCAAGCGCCCTGGCTCTGTCAACCTTTGGCAGCGATGCTTGACACTCGAGCCATTGTCTTCCGGGTCTGGGCCGGAAACGCTTCGCAGGATTCCTGAGGACATGTCTGGCAAGCAAAAACGGCCGGAGCCAAAAAACTGGATGAGGCTGTAGCTGAAGACAGGAGCGAGTGGACCGTCACATCAGCTCGACGAGTTTGAGTCAGCTTCTGACAAAGCAAACCGCTTGGCAGCCGTGTTGTAGACGCTCTGTGTCAGCTGAAAGGCAGCAAGCACATTGCAACGCATAGGCACTCTCCGAGGAAGGCGGCGCGACGAAGATTGCTTGGGGTGATAACGAGTCCCTCATGCCGAGGAGTGCACGAACAACAACTGCGCGAGCACATGCAACCGGAAACTCGTGGGTACTGTGGCCAAAGGTACGATTGGTCAATGTCACTCCGCAGAATCTGTACTTTGGTAAACCAGCCGACTGGCAGGTGTTGCATTGGGGGGTGACTTTAGGTTTTGGGCTTGCGGCCCCTGCCCGGCTATCTTAGAGTTGTTGCAGGGCTTGAGGGGTTTGGAGCCGGTAAACCATGGTTCTGATCGTAGGGTATCTATGGGAGACCAAAAGGGGGGTTCAAGATTTCTGAGGTAGGGATTCCTTAATATGAACCCTATTATGGGAACCCAAATCCCTACTAAACCCCCATAGGCTAAAACCCCGTTTGGCCTCCTATGAATCTAACCAAAGCGACCTTCGCACCTTTTTCGAGCTCGTTTGGAGTGCAACTCCCGTCCTCCTTGCTTTGTGGAGACGCGGGGCGCCGATCGAGCTTCAGGGAAATTTAGGAAGGTTTCTGGTTTAGGGTTTCAGGCTCAGGGCGCAGGGTTCAGTGTTCAGGGGCTTTATGTAAGCATTCGTGGCTTTGGGTCCAAATTTTGGTTGGTCGGTGAGTTTTCCAGATTTACGGGGGAGGGGGGTTCAAAAATCAGAAGTGGCGATGGCACGATGCTCGGCATTTAGCAAGCAGCCAATTTAGCCATCGGGGCAGCCTGGACTGCCTCAACGGCTGTAATTTCTGTGCATCCGATCCCATTTTCAAGAACGATGCTGGCGTGACGCATGAGTCACGCCGTCAGGAGAAAAGGAACGGACCCAAAGCAAGAAAGCTTCAGAAACGCAATCACGGTCGCACTACAAGTTGCAGTGGCAATTCTGGCAAGTATCATGTGAAGCCCGCACGCCGAAAATTCACCTCCTGCCTGCTTGGGACCGCAGTTGCTACTGACTGACGATAGTGCTTCAAGTCCTTCGTTTCAATCTTCTGCTGTCTCACTTGACCACAGACTTATTCACATTGTGTCCACAAGCTCGTTGGTAAATCCTTGCTTTGGATGCGGGTCTGCCCTTACGACCCTGGGTACTCTGTGCACAAACCCTCGGCACTAGCCGAGGGGTGGCCCTAGGCGTGTCTGGAGGCTCGCTGCAGGCAAGAAGCCCCTTGCTCACGAACCCTCAAACCTTAAACCCCTAACTCCAAAATGCCCAGTCATTCAGATTTGGGCCGCGAGATTGCATGGTACCCTTACACTGCTGTCCTGGTGGCGGCGACGGTGGTAGTTTTTGCGATAACAAGAATAGTAACAAGTGTATGTTGCAGCCGCAGCAGCAGCAGCAGCAGCACGAAGAGGAGGAGTAGCACTAGGAGTAGCAGTAGGAGTAGCAGCAGGAGTAGTAGTAGCAGCAGTAGACGTAGCAGCAGTAGCAGTAGCAACAGTAGTAGCAGTAGTAGCAGTCGTAGCAGTAGTCGCACTAGCAGCCGTAGCAGCAGCAGCAGCAGTAGGAGCAGCAGCAGCAGCAGCAGCAGTAGCAGCAGCAGCAGCAGTAGCAATAGTAGCAGTAGCAACAGTAGCAACAGTAGCATTAACAGCTGTAGCAGTAGCAGGAGCGGAAGCAGCAGCAGTAGCAGGAGCAGGAGCAGGAGTAGTAGTCGCCGTCGTCGCAGTAGCAGTAGCAGTAGCAGTGGCAGTGGCAGTGGCAGTGGCAGTGGCAGTAGCAGTAGCGGTAGCTGCAGCCGTAGCCGTAGCAGCCGATAAACCGACAAGCAAAGCACAGGGGCGTTCGTTCCTGCATCCAGCCGCCCTACAAGAGGAGGTGGGGTGTCCATGTCATAGCAGGCCCAGCTGAAGACCCAAACGCGAAACCTCTCATCGAATGTTTGGGATGCCAGTACTATGGAATCCTAAAGAAATACCTACATCTGTCCTGAGAGCTCCTGATTCTAAATGGGAGTTTCCCTAAAAATGGAGGACCCAGTATAGTACCCTACATAGTAGGATCCTTCTTATAAGGACCCCTAGAATGAGGTACCCCCTAAGTTTCGGAACTTCCCAGTTGTGCCCTTTTCTAATCCCATCGAGGCCCCAAAAACACAAATACTTATAAATTTCTTCGAGTTCCTTATTACAACTATCTTCTAATCATGAAATCCCCTACATTACTTAAAAGTTCATGGGACTTAGTAACTTCCCGATATAATTGCTTATAACCCCAATTCAGGTACTTATAACCTTACTTACTAATTCCCACGATCCTCCAAATACATGAGATTATAAGGGGCTTCATATTATGATTTAAGCTGTATTCCCTAATTAAGGGGTATTGGGCTCTCTGGGTAAAGGTCCCTACATTGAAAGATTATGGATAGTTTCCAGTGACGGAGCCCTTTAAGGGAACCCTAACAGGAACCCTAAATCCTTACAGGAACCGCTCCTAAGTACCCCTAAGGATGTCAACCTGATTAAGAAACCCTGGGCCAAAAAACCCAAAAATAGCAGGAGGCACACAAGGAAACCTAATCAACTCAAGGTTTCTTAATCAGGTTCCTACATTGCATTACATGGGGGGTTTCAGAATAGGGGGCCTTAATACCGTGCCCTAATTAGTATGAACCCCATTATAAGGACCCCAAAATAAGGTACCCCGAATTTTCGGAAACTCTACACCCTAAACCCTTTAGAGGACCCTTATAGATCCCTTTAAAGGAGCCCTTATAGTACCCTACATGGCTTTCATCTTCCGGAGTGCCGATATTCGGCTCGGGGTCGTTGGTTGCATGCTGAACCTTCGAGGTTTTTCGGGCTTCCTGTGCCCTGGATACTAAGAATAGGCTATAGGGTTCCATCAAAGGGCTCCTTTTGAAGGAGTCTATAAGGGCTACTGCAAGGGCTAGTACAACTGTTTAGAGTTGGGGCCTTCATATTTAGACCGGGGTTTATTATGCTATAATTTTGATAAAGAACCCCGAAATGGTATACGTAATTATTGAGGCCCCAATGTTACTGCCCCCCACTCTGTAACAGTTGGATAATATCTAGAGTACTTAGTATAGATAGAAATATACATCGTTCTGCGAGGACTTCATGACTTAACACTTAGGATTTGCGATTGTTCAGGGTTTCGAGGTTGAGAGCTCCGAGTATTTAGCCTCAGGCCTAAACCCCAAAACCCAAATCCCTAGCCAGGTACTGGCTGGATCTCAGCTGAGTGATATGACGCTAATCCCCGCGACAGCAGCCGTTGCTAAGGGAACGGCATGAAATAAGCACGCTCGGATTCCAGGGGTCTTGGTGCTGATGACAATGGGAACTAGACCCAAGAGTAGCCTAGGAATAAGAAGGGTGCCCTTTTTGGTTTAAAGGGTCTTATAAGGGAACCTGAACCCCCAAAAAAGGGAATAAGGGCCTACTCCAGGTCCTAGGGAAAAAGAAGAACAGTAACAGTAGAAGAAACAAATAGCAACACAACAATAATGCTGCTGCTGATGACATATAATGATTCCGGGGCTCGGTGCTAAGAATAGTCATGATAACAGCTAACGAATGTTGACATTAAGGACAACAATAACAGTAGCAATAACTTATAATAATGACAATAATAGTAAGATCACTTGTAGCGAATAACTACACTCCAACCCCGAAAGGGAGTTTGAAGAAGCATGCCAGAACGAGCATGCCGGCCTTGAGGCTACTTGAATTCGTGTCAACCTCGTGCATCTGAGGCCCACACCTCAACTGCACGATGTTGTAAACTAACCATGCAAACAAGTGCACAGCGTCGTGGGAAGATAATTGTCCAGGACAGCGTGCCCTAAGCATGGAACCGGACCACACCATTGGACCGCCGCTGCGTTATGGAGGTTTTCAGGATGCACCCGGCTGTTCAGCGCCGTTTTGCGGATTCAACAGGTCTCACAGACGTGAAGGACATAATGCAGGGGCCTTCAACATCAAACTACATGTGGCCCTGGGGTATACTATGTATTTGGGTATACGAAGAATATACAGGGATCCTCTCCCTCCTCCTCCCTCCTCCTCCTCCTCCGCCTCCTCCTCCTACTATTACTAACTACTGCTGCTACTACTGTTACTACTACTACTACTACGACTGCAACTGCTCCCGGCAGCAGGCACGGGTTGCTAAAGATTCATGGCATTCGGGCTTACGCGTGGGGCTTATGCTTGCATTGGAGCTTTAAGGGTTTCTTAAAGGATCTTTCATACATGCTTCGGCATCTTGGGTTTGAGGGATTCGATGGACGATAAGGATTGTATCAAGGTGTAGGCTTTTGTAGCTTCAGACTTTCAGGATATAGGTTTCTTTACGGTTTAGGGGCTTTGAAAGTTGCAAGGTTCAGGCTCTCGGGTCTTAAGAGCTGAGGGTTCGGGGATTGGGCTCTCAAATACTGGGCTTTGAAGTAACCAGGGAGTAAAAAGTAGGGCTTTTAGGGGTTAGGGTTTAGAGTTTAAAGTTCAGGGCTTTTAGGGTTTAGGATCTTGGGTTTAAGGTTTAGGGGTTTAGGGTTTAGGGTATTTCATGGTGGTTCCCTTTAGTAATTAACAGGCCTAGAAACAGTATTAAAGTATGGTACTCGAAAGCCCAGAACAATGTCAGAACCAAGACTTTGAATGAGCCCACTCGAACTTTTCCACGTAGCGTTCTGCGCTGTGGGTTTAGGATTTAGGGCTTAGGCTGATAAAGGGTTGGGGATGATTGAAGTCATCTAGGGCTCAGGGTTTATGGGAGCCAGAAACATGCAGTTGGCACCTGCCCCGGCTCTTCAAGAACCCACTTCGTGCGAGTGGCTGTACAAGCTGTACAATTCTTCGAAGTGCTTTTAACGCCTGGTGCCGCAAGTCATTAATTTCTAGCAGGGGTGATTGCGAAATACCGATTCTATCACGATAGCTCTTCCGATAGTTATGATGGCTACTGCTCTTGTTGATCTGACATTCTTGGCAGAATTGCTGGGTGTTCAACAACGCCTTTTGCTACAACCTAGTCTGCGCCCCCCTCAGTGGACTTACTTACCCAATAAGCCACAGAAATGGAAGATTAAACTTTCCGAATTCCTACTAAACTATAATAGCCCAAAAAGCTTAAAGGTTGGGTATTGGGGATCTAAGTAAGAATCAACGATGAACGTTTTGGACAATATAAAATATCCTCACGCCATTGAAACGACATGGAGAGAATCGCATCCGAATCATCCTTACCGCGTGTTCTGACTATGTTTTGTCCCGGCTGAACGAAAGACCCGGATCCAGACTCGAACCCGTTCCGGAGTGCATGGTTTGGAGGTTGGGCTAAAAATCTAAATTCAGGGGTTTAGCAGTTTGGGTTTGGCGTTTAGGATTTAGAATCGAGGTCTCGAAAACACTACGTTTTGGTGGCAAGCACGTCGGATGCCAAGCACCAGGGACGAAAATACAAAGCCCGAAAAGGCACACGCCGACGGCTCCGGCGGCGGACACAACTGGGTCTCTGCTAACCACTTCAAGGGCTTAAGCTTTACGGCAATGGGCTCCCCTTGAAAACCTTAGGATGCTGTTTCATTCTGGGTCTCGGGGTGTCGGGTATCAGAGCCTAGACCGATAACTACAAACCCAACAACTTTGCTTCTGGAGGCCTTGGCGACTGGAATTGGGTCTTGGTGTGGTCTATATCTACACATCTATATATATATATATATATATATATATTTATTTATTTATTTGTTTATTTGTTTATTTTTTTATTTGTTTATATTTATATTTATATACACACACATACATATACACTATATGCACATAGGTGCGTGTGCATATATATATACACACACACAATATGTGCGCCGATGTGTGTAAATAGCAATATGTGCATATATCAGTATATATAGCAGGGTGTGGGGTTCAGCATAAAAACAAGGGGTTAGGAAAAATATACGTAAGAAAAAGGGGGGGATGTGAGCACCTCGGCCCCATAGCCTTGGATTCAAAGTTGCATGTCATCCTGTCTTCTTGGCTTTTTTCCCGTCAAAAATGATGGTCAGGTTTGTGCTACCTTCTTACTGCGTGAGAATGTCAGAACTCTATTAAATATCCCGTAAGATCTGTGCTACAGAAACGGGGAGACAAAAAATGCTTTGTATACTTGCGCATACTAGTTCCTTTAGGTAAGGAACAGGTCAGAAAACAACTTAACCCTAAACTCTAAGTAAGTGTTCACAATCTAACCAGTGGTTTTGGGGTTCCCTTGGCTCTTTAGCTCCTTATTTGATAGGGATTATCATCATCCCTGGCTCCTTAGCTCCTCCAATATCAATGGTTAGCAATTGCTCCTTTATTGCAGTATGGTACTCCAGAACCCAGAGCCTTAGAGTTTGCTGATGCGAGGCGCCATTTCGGGTTCAGATTTCGCATCCCCTCCTTGAAGGAGCCCTCAAAGGTACCCTAAACCCTACACCCTTAACCCTAAACCCTAAACCCTACAGCCTAAACCCTAAACCCGAAACCCTAAACACTAAACCCTAAACCCTAAACCCTAAACAAAGGAACCCCCGAAGGAAACAGGTCGGCTCGAGGTTGGCAGCTAGAGAGTGCTTTGTCGTAGTTTTTGTCTTAACAGATTCGGAGCACATCACACTTTCACAGGGGCTAAGGGCCCTAAACCCTAAACCCTGATTTGGAGTTCACAGCTTTGCACTCCAAGCAAGTCTTTCCGCAGAACTTCATGTGATCAGTATTTGGGAGTTTCCGAAAATTAGGGGTATCTTATCTGGGGTCCTTGTAATACGGATCCTACTATTTAGGGTACTATATTAGGGTCACCTGTTTTCGGAAGCTCCCATTTACTAGAAGCACACAACTCTAAACTTTTAGGTAGACCCTGAACTGTTTTGAGTTCAATGACCGCACAACCCGCGTAGACTTTATGGCATGCAGCATGGAGCATGTGGCACACAAAGCCTGAACCCCAAAACGTATTAACCCGACCCGACTACAAGAGCATTAGACTATTCCCGAACTACGAAAAGATTAACGTAGGAAACTGATTCACCCTGGGGCTATAACCCCAAAATAGTAGGTTTCATGTAAGGAACCCCAATAAGGGCCAAAGTTTTCTTAATCAGGTTCCTACATTAGCCGGCAATGGTCATGGAAGTTGAAGCGACTTTACGGAACCCTGCAGAATCCCAGTAGAAACCGGAAGTGCGCTGCTTTTGCTAAAAACTGGGTTTAGGGCTTAGGGTTTAGGGGTTTAGGGGTTTAGGGTTAAGGGTTTAGGGGTTTAGGGTTTAGGGTTTATAGAAATTGTTAAGGGTTTGGGTCCCAAAAACGTTTTGAACGAAACGTTTTGAACGAAACGTTTTGAACGAAACGTTTCGCCGAAAGTTTTTTTTTGCGAACCATGTTTCCAAATCTCTTGGGGGGCTGCGAAACGTTTTGAACGAAACTCTGGAGCGAGACGTTTTGACCGTCCTGGGGCTGGGGCCGGGGCTGGGGCTGGTCTTTTGCGAATAAGGGCTTGGGTCCTAAAAACGTTTTGAACGAAACGTTTTGACCGAAATGTTTTGACCGAAACGTTTTGACCGAAACGTTTTGACCGAAACGTTTTCACCGAAACGTTTTCACCGAAACATTTTGAACGAAAGTTTTTTTTGCGAACCATGTTTTCAATTTTGCTGGGGGGCTGGGGCTCTTGGGTGCCAAAAACGTTTTGAGCGAAACGTTTTGGCGTGGCCTAGGCTGGGTCGGGCTGCTTGGACTGGCTGGTGGGCAGGGTTGCCTGGGCTGAAGGTTGTAGAGAAATTGGTTTATCAAGAAGCTTGTTCCGATTTTGAGCTCCAGCTCAATGTTGGCCGGGCCGTACCGGTGGTTACAAGTTTGTAGAGAAACTGGTTTATCAAGAAGCTTGTTCAATTTTTAACTTTTGTGTTGGGCCGTAGCGGTGGTTACAAAGAAGGACAAGCAATTTCTATTTATCACTTTCTTGAGGGTTTAGGGTTTAAGGGTTTAAGGGTTTAAGGGTTTAGGGTTTAGGGTTAAGGGTTTAGGGTTAAGGGTTTAGGGGTTAGGGGTAATCCTGCGAGTTTGTATCCGCGGAGGAGCCAACAGCTTTGAGACCCTCTCAGGAAGACTCTTGTGGCTGCAACGCTTCGGTTTTAGGGTATCCGATTCAAGCCTTAGGGTTTTCGCGATGCCTGGGTCCCCCTTGGTGAACGGACTCATCTCACACTGCTGAGGATTTGGAGTGCCGCCGGGCTGCTTCAGGCCCCGCGTGGGGACTCGCCACGCTGGGCGAGAGCGAGAGCCTCAGTAAAAGCCAGAAACTCATGGTAGGAATCATCATAATCATAATCATGGTCACCATTACAATGCTGATAATAGAATTGTGGTAATTGTATATAACATAGTTGGTACAATAATAAGGCTCGAAATCAGAAGAAGTATGATCATGAGTCTGAAGGGGTCCCCTTTAAGGCGGTCCTAAAACGTGACCTCTCAGGGTGTTTCTGAGGTTCGTTTGCGGCCTCTGAGGGACCCTGGTGTCGGGCTTTAGGGTTGAAGGATTTCGGGGTCTAGGGGCTCAGGAAATCAGGATGGGCAATTTCAGGTGTCTTGTGGTTTGTGGGGTTTAGGGCTGTAAGGGATATACTGATTGAAGCCTTAAACCCTAAACCGTATTTAGGGTGGTTCTAAGCGGCCATTGCGTAAACCCTTACGAAACCCTCGAAGTTAAACCCATGTAACACACATGAAGGAACCCTGAAAGCTGGGCACACTGCCACTAAATCGAAACAAACGCCTATACACACTATATCCTAGATGCCGAGAAGCCCGAACCCTGAGAATTCGGACCCCTAAATTGAACCATGTTAAACCCTACCACACAAAACCAGACAAAAGCTTTGCAAAACATGTAAAAAAGCACCAAAGACCCTTTAAACCCTATCAAACCATGTAAGACCCTGTAACACCCTGTGTTGGGGTTTAGAGCTTAGGGTGTTATATGGGACTTTCCGAAATTAGGGGACCCTGAATTAAGGTAGCCCTCATTTTCGGAAACTCTAAACCCTTTATGGAACCCTTATAGATCCCGTTAAAGGAACCCTTATAATACCCTGATAGTAACCCTGCAAACGAACTCTAAAGTACCCCTTTCGGAAACTCCCATATGGGTGGTTGTCAAAATTATGGTCCCCTTTTGGGCCCCTGTCATGATACGGCACCTATTATGTAGGGTACCCCAAAAGGCGCCGTAATTTTGACAACTGCCCATGGATTTAATCCCCTTGCCTTGGCTTCGGCAGATCGAACTCCTCTGCAGATCAAATCGAGACCGCGATCCTCAAAGCTCCGACGTTTTAGGCTTTCTGCTTGGGGTTTCTACAAAGGGTCTATAAGGGTTACTATAAGGTTTCTAGGAAGCTTCTACAGAAGCTTTAATTAGGGTTTTGGGGTTTAGTGGTTTAGAGCTTGGCTTAGGCTTAGGGTTTGGGGTTTTTCTGTGTTTTAGGGTTGTGGGGTGTTGGGGTTTAGGGTTTTGGGCTGTGGGCTTAGGTTTTTGGGCTTCATTGTTTTTCGGAGTTTTACAAGTCGGGGTCTTGGGCTTTGCGTCAAGGGCTTTGGCTTTCGGGAGCTTTCAGCGCGTTTGGGGCGCTTGTTTTGGGCTTAGGGTTGAGGGGTTTAAGTTCTAATCAGCATTTATGGCTCAGGAAGACTTTGTCAGTGCGTTCGGCGTTCATGTTGAGTTGAGTTTTGTTTTGCGCAAAGGGCTTTAAGATTTGTCTGAAATCTAGCAGCAGGCCCTCTCAACCGCAAACTCCTAATAAACAAACCCGTCTCAACTCAGACCACATCTTTAAACTCCTGTCGTTGAAGCCCCACATCTCAAGCCCCTCAAACCTGCAACCCCAACCCTCATTTCTGAAACCCTCAGCACCTGAAACCCCCAGAACCCTCGCTGAATCCACCCCACGACAATCCTCGCATCCCTCAACCCAAACTCTAAATATAAAGTCACCAAAATCACCCCCCACACCCCAAAAAATACAAACGAGCCAACAACACTAAACCCCTGAACCTGAAACTGAAAGCCCTAAACTCTTGAGCCCTACAAACCCTCGAACCAGGATACCAAAAAAAACTATACTCCCTGAGAAGCCCAGAAACCCTAAAGAAACCCTAAATAATATAACCCCCTCCCAGAACCCTGCAAAACCGGCAAAAAAAATCAGGGCGGGTCGCAACGCCACGCCGGGAAGCCTTAGCAGAAGTCCCATCAATCCGTAGAGCCGACTCCTTCAAAGGTCTGTGCTCCTTTAAGCCTTAGGGGCTTAGGGTTTTAAGCTTCAAGGGCTTAGGGTTTTTACGTACTTACCCAATAAGCCACAGAAATGAAAGGTTAAACTTTCCGATTCCTACTAAACTATAAGAGCCCAAAAAGTTAAAAGGTTGGGCATTGGGGATCTAAGTTTAGGTTTAGGGATTGCTCCTTCGGGGCTCTGGAGGGGTTTAGGGTTTAGGGAATAAGGCCGACTGGTGTGGGTTTGGGGTTTAGGGATTAGGGTTTAGGGATGAGGGTTTAGGGATTAGGGTTTAGGGATGAGGGTTTAGGGATTAGGGTCTAGGGGCTTTGTCGTCAAACTCTTGTTGGGTATTCATAACCATGGCGGCATAGGGCTTCAGATAGGTGCGAAAGGGGCTATTCACGCGCCTGTTTGATAAGAGTAGAGTTTTGGGGCAGATTATAGTACTGTAGGTATATGAGGGGCTGATGGGGATAATGGGATTAGTTATTCAGACCTCTACATCAGGGCCTGCTTGGGGTCCAGGGTTGCAGGTTCTGTATTGCATGCGCAGTTGTCTCCTTGATTGTGTTGTCTTCATGCAAGGTGCATGAGAACGGTTAAAACAGTCTTACTAACATCTTTGAAACACCGGACCTTGCCATGAAGGCCTAACGTACGGGCCTGAAAAACCAGAATAGGGTTTCGGGGCATATTATACCAAACTATAATAAGGAGCCCCCAAAACCCATTCTAATCATAAGGGCCCTATATTCTAAAACCCTACTATAGATCCCTTATAGAACCCTTTACAGGGAACCGTATTCCAATTATTAAGGTCCCTACAGTAGGCATTTTGGCCTGATGGGGTTGTCTTATGAGCATGAGGCGCCTGGGAGTGTTCTTTTGGTATGGGATCTTCCGAGAATTGGGGGGTACCTTATCTTGGGGTCCTTATGATAGGGATCCCACTATTTACGGCACTATATTAGGGTCCCCTATTTTCGGAAACTTCCGTGTGGGATTCGACTGCCAGGTGCTTTTTCACTGTGTGGCGTCCACACGGGCATGACAAAGGGGCCTCAATAATGTTTTGGGGGCCCATTATATTATAATTATAATAAGGAACCCCCAAAACCCTATTCTAATTATTCAGGCCCCTTTTTTGGCTATAATTTGCTGTTCAGATGTCTGTATTGGGAACATTGCTCAGGGATAACATTGGGTCCAGCACGTGTTTGTCGGCAACGGGTTATCATTGCATGCAGCGTTCAAGACCTGAAATGCACTACTGCTTGCATGCATAGACATCTCAAAGAACCGAAATCATCCTTTGCGAACTCACTGCTCCTCAGCAACCGCCTAGCACGCATGAAAACTCTAATCTTTGGTTCGGGGTTCTGGGGTCAACACATTGTTCTTGAGCTCCTTCACCAGCAAAGCTACCGTCTCTGTGTGTTTGCGGATTTCCGTTTTCTGTTTAATGACATTCCGCCACAGGGTGTTTCTTCAAAGCGCCGTTTCATGCGCGTGGTTCCCTGCGGGTCCCCGAGTCTGCAGAGTGTGCTACGGTTTGCTTTGCAAGCGAACATGTCCGCATCGAGCGAACTTGCTCCAAGATGGATCTTTCCTGTCTTCTCCATCTCTTCCCATGGCACTTGGCTCGTGCTTGGCGGTCAAACTCTTCTACAGAATTCCTCAAAACCTAAACCCTACTACATGATAGTACGGCCATGTTGCTGCGAAAGACACGGTAGATTGTGTAGCACTCTTGAAGGTAAGCCCACAAAGCTCTCCAAAGCATACATCCCTACCTGAACCCCAGTACAGTAAACCTTTTTGGCGCAGTTACAATTTTCGCTCATGGTTCGTCGAAACGGTACATCTTGGCAAGTTAATGTTAAACCCCATCGAGCCCTTGCACCCAAGCCTTGACAGAGAAAGCCAAAAGTCCATAAGCAGTAACCCGAAAACCCTGCCCAAAACCTGCATCATTGGCCCTATACCCTGCACCCCTGCACCTCCGCACCCGAAAGCCTCCCTAAACCCTAAACCCCCATAAACCCTAAACCCTTAGGGGTTTTAGGGTAACCGAAACCCAAAGCCGAAAGCCCTGAACTCAGGCCCTAAACCCTAAACCCTAAACCGCCCTAAACTCCACAACGCCAAGTGGGGCCTCGAGGATTTCATCTCTCCGAAGAAACACGTCCTGGGTTTCTATAAGGGTTTCTGTAAAGGTTCTAGGGGCCTTGATAATTAGAAGGGGGTTCGTTTAATACAAACTGTCTATAAGGGATCTACAGTAGGGTTCTATAATATAGGGTTTCTAGAATATCGGGGCCTGAATCATTACAATAAGGTCCCTTGAAAGGGTTCCTTTTAAAGGGGTCTGTAAGGGCTACTAGAAAGGCTATTATAAGGGTTTAGTATAGGGTCCTTTATCATGAGAATAGGGTTTTGGTGTACCTTATACTATACTTACAATAAGGAACCCCAAAATAGTATAGGTAGTTGTTTAGGCTTCTACATTAGGGATTGAGTTTTCTCTACGGGTTTCCCATGATTTTGTTTACAAGGTTTGGGTCTTCGGCATTGATGTTTGCGGATTTTAGGATCTTGCCTCTTTGGGGTTTCAGGGGTTTGGGGCCTCCAGAGTGGAGGGGAAACCCTAAACCCTAAACTCTAAACCCTAAACCCTAAACCCTAAACTCTAAACCCTAAACCCTAAACTCTAAACCCTAAACCCTAAACCCTAAACTCTAAACCCTAAACCCTAAACTCTAAACCCTAAACTCTAAACTCTAAACCTTTGGGGATTAGGGCTTGCCAGCTTTGGGTCTTGGGCCTTCAATGGTTGGATTTAGGTCTTGGGCGTTTAGGGTTTAGGGCCATTTAGTTTATGGCTTTCGGTTTTTTGGTACCTTGACATTGCTTTAGAGCCGCATCAGGGATTCAGAGCTGAGGAGCTAGTGTAAAATGCGTGCAAGGTTTGTGGAATCTAGGATTTAGGTTTGGGGTTCAGGGTTTTGTGCTGGAGAGAGTTTCGACAGCATCAGCAGCCGTGTAAAGTGAAGAGTGCTAAGACTGGACGCGTGAACAGCTGCGACGGCGAATCATATGCAAAGATATGGTGCCATAAGCATGTAGCAAGATGGGCAGACAGAGAACTACTGTATTGGCAGAATCAAATCTCACTGTCTCCACACTATCTGGCAGGCAGGGCCTTGAAACGGAATCGAGAGTGTCGCAATCAGCACTGAGGACAGGTAAGCCAAAACAGCTGCATACGCGATGCAACTTTTAGCCTGCACTCACCTTCAATTATGTCAGCAGAAGAAAAACATCACAGAAGTTGCGAACCATGCTTGAAACAATTTTCTTGCCAGGAGTCCCGATGAACAGCCCGAGAATGCCAGGTAGGCTGGCGATGATGGGAAAAGCGATGGAATAGCCCAAACTGGCATTCGCCTGAGCGGTCTCGTGTGCGTACCCTCCAGATGCGACCCTTCCCCAGCTGAGCCACTTACCAACCTTGTTTGTGATACGAGTTGCAAACATTGCTCGTGCCCATAACTTCAAAACCTAGCAAGGGAACAAGAAACCGAAAAAGCTGCATGTAATATCGGGCATTAGTGGCTTTGAATGGTTTTAAAGGTTGCAAACGGATTCGGGTATGTTGTAATGTAACAGAACATAGGGACCTTAATCATTAGAATAGGGTTTTGGGGCCCACTATACCAGAATTAAGTAAGGAACCCCCAAGCTGCTCTTGTAAATAATACAGAGGTAACTAGTATTGGTAATTATTTAGGCCCCTTTTTTACAAGAGGAACCCCAAGGCTCTGCAACAGCAAGTTGCTGTGAGTGTCAATGGTTCTCTCAATTGCTCCCCCAATAGCACAATCCCCTCAACTGAAGCAGGTCCAATAAAAGTAATGACAACAGTCATACGAGTAGTGAAGATCATACTAAACAATAATCACAAAAAGACCAGTAGTACTGGCACCGACAATGCTAACTAATGATATTGAATATGTTTATGACGTGATAACGGTCACGACACTGATCACGGTAATGATACAGTAATCACAATGACAACAGTAATTTCGATTAGTACATCCGAATGAAGTTTGGCGAGATACTCTAGCTTCGAAGACTACCAGGAATACCCGCTCGAATTTGCCCAACCTCTGTTTAGTGTTGTGGATCTTGTGCTTAATTAACAAGGCTTAGAGTCTTAGAGTTTAATGTGCGTTAGGGTTTAGGGCTCAGCTAAAGCTGAAGGGCTGCAAAACCTGCCTTTGATGTGCTTCGACGCTTTCCGACAACGATCAAAACTGTACAATATTCCTAAATCTCTGGAACTCTACAGCGCTTGTAACGCCATCAACAAAACACCATGGAGCCCTTCTACAAGCCAGAAATGCCCCTCGTATGAACCAACCATAACGATCCCAGGTCCTAGAGGCCTTGCAACCCTCTACCAGAAAACGTCTGTAAAACGTGGGACTTCTTACTTACCCAATAAGCCACAGACATGAAAGGTGAAACTTTCCGATTCCTACTAGACTATAAGAGCCCAAAAAGTTTAAAGGTTGGGTATTGGGGATCTAAGACTTCTAAATGCTACAAGACCCCTTCAAGGCTTGACACCCTAACAAGCCTCCAGGGCTATGAGCTGCCCAAAACAGATGCGAAAATCCTAACCCTGAAACGCCAAACCCTGAAAACCACAAAATCCCTAAAACCCTAAAACTACTAGAATACTAAAACTTAAACCCCAAAAACCCGAAAACCATGAACCCCAAGCTGCACTGAAGACCCCAGCGTGCCTGAAACCAGGCCACTTGCGCGATGGCCCAAAGAATCCCTGACCTGGTCGGTAGGGCGCGGGGTATTCGAGCATTTTTCGGGTTTAGGGTTTCAGGTTTAGGGTAGTAGGGCATGCGTGTATTAAGGTTTGATTGAGGGTTTGCGGTTTAGGGTTTGGGGCTAAGGGCATTGGCGTATCAGTGTTTCGGCTTTAGGGCTTTGGGCCTAGGGTTCCCGTGTAGGATTTCGGACATGAGGGCAGGAGGTATTGGGGTACGATCTTTGGAATTTATAATCTAGGCTTAGGGTTTAGGCTACCAAACCCTAAACCTTCTAAACCTGCCCAGGACCCCTAAGTACTCTAATTGTCCCTGCGCATGAGGGTAGGACGTGTGTCTAAACCCTAAGACGGTAAGCCCGAGAGGCCCTCAACCTTAGTATCGTGACTAACACGCCTTACCCTGAACCCTCAACCCTCCCAGCGAGTTCAGTAACAGGGGCTGTTTTGACTCGGTGTTGCCAGCATTTCTCTTTTTGGGGTCTCGTGGAAAGAAAGGTGTCAGAAAGGTTGCTTCCAGTGTTTACAAGTTCAGAGACGGAACTACAATGGAGACTATAGGTAGGGTTTGATTCCAGGGACTCTCAAAGGACTTTGTGGCTATTGGGATGTTGGAGTTTCATGCTTCCGAAACGGGATCTGTGGGGGGCCTGTCTGCCTCATATGGGAGTTTCCGAAAATAGGGGTACCTTATTTTGGAACCCTTAGAATAAGGATCCTACTCTTTAAGGTACTATATTAGGGTCCCCTATTTTCGGAAACTCCCATATAAGGGCCTGAAGACCTAGAATAGGGTTTTGGGGGTTCCTCATTATACCTTAACCTACCCCAAACCTATTTTTTGTAGGGTCCCGATAAATTCCAGATTAGGCTTTACAATAAGAACCTACAAAAAAGTAGGGTTTGGTAGGTTAAGGTAGTTATAGAATAACAAACCCCCCAACCCTATTCCAATTATGAGGCCCCTACAGTAGGTCAAGGGTTCAGGATGAACATGGGTGGTTATCAAAATCATGGTCCCTTTTTGGGTACCCTAAAAAAAAAAGTTGCCGTATTATGATAGGGACCCAAATAGGGACCATAACTCCGACAACCACCCATATAGGCCTTAGCCGTAGCACGTGGCGAATCGGCAGGACCCGAGTCACAGGGTTCGAGTTTGGTGAAAGCTTCAAGTGTTTGAGGAGGACCCTTAATGAGGACCCCTAGGTATACACCCCTAATATAATAGCTATTATATACCCATTATATAGCCCATTATAGGGTAGGGGTCCCCATTATAATAGCTATATTAAGGGTATATACCTAGGGTCCTTATTAAGGGTCCCTCCTTGTCCCCTTTGAGCTTAACAGATCATGGAATCTAGTAATCAGGTTGTTCGCAGGGTTAGAGGCACAGGAGCCTTCAGTAACGTCCGTAAAACCCTACCTATACCCCACTTAGTGAGCCCCTTGTTCCTTCAGGCAGGGCTTTTAAGTTCAGAAATTCAAAAAGCCCTCACCCTCAGACCCCAACCCCTAAACCCGAAACCCAACCCCTAAAACCTACAGTAAACCCGTACGCCCTTAAGTTACTCTTAAGCCCTTACACCCTAAACCCTGAGGACACGACGCCAGTGCCGGCATGAGAATCTCTTTGGGCATGTAGCTCTTCCTCGCCGAAGTGCTCAGCGTTTTAGCGTTTAGGGGTTTAGGGCTTAGGGTTTAGGGGTTTACGGTTTAGGGTTTAGGGGTTTAGGGTTTAAGGTTTCCAAAGAGAGTTACATGGGAGTTTCCGATGTCGGGCTTAGGGATCTGTCTATGGTGGTGGTTAGGGAGATTGCAAGAATTGGAACACTTGAAAGTCCCTGCATTGGGTCGCAAGCTCAGGTGCAAAGGCTTCCAACAACCAAAGGCGATTGTTCAGGGTTTAGGGTTTAGAGGCTCAGGTTGGACGACGTAAGCAACACACCCTAAGTTTTGAGCGCCAAACCCACAGATTGAACCCCTAAGCTTAGCTCCTGAACTGCGAAACCCCAACACCTTAAAGCCACACACTAAGCCCACAAAAAATCCTAAACCCCTAAACCTTCAACCCTAAACCCTAAACCCTAACACCATACCCAGAAACCTTAAAGCCAAACACTAAACGCAGAAAATCCTACACTCCAAACCCACAAGTCAAGGCCCCGGCCTCTCGGATACCTAAACCCTAGAACTACACTGCATGGGGTTTAGGGTCAAGGGTATGGGCGGAGTTTAGAGTTTAGGGCTTAGGGTATAGGGTTTAGGGTTTAGGGTACCTTTACACTTAGTGATGGGGATATTGATAGATATATATAGGGGAATTGATACCCCCGATGCTTTAAACTTCAAACCCTGCGCGATCCTGCGCATCACTGCGACGTAGACCACCAAAGCGATCGCTGCCGTGGCGAAGATGCCGAAGAAGTGGCTCCACACATAGTCCAAAATCTGGGTTTGGGATTCTTCGGAAGACTGTCGGGATTTCTGCTTTCTCGGTGTTCTGCTGGGGGGTTCCAGGTAATAAGGTGTGGAGTTTACTTGCAGGATATGAGATGGTTGTACGTACCCTGGGAAGCCCCCTTTCTCTGCATTTGATATTGCCAGGGCTTAGAGTGGAGGCGAGGGCTTCGTTTATCGGCCCACCTCTTCGTGTCTCAGCATACGCGTCGACCTAGGTGCAACCTTCCGGGACAAGGAAACACTGCTAGTAACGGTAACGACGGTAACCACAACCCTGGAATCCCTGTGTCCTCGATTTTACAAGGCTTCGCATAAGTATGCCAGCACATTTCCAGCTCCTGTCCAGCATGGATGGGGGGGAATTCCTCAATGCACCAGTTCTAGCCTTTTCGTGCTGCAAAACAGCTACGGGTTTTGCCCTGTTTGAGAGAGAGGGTAAAGAGCTGATTCGGCAAACTGGAAGAAGCTCCAAAACGCAAACGAATCTCTTGGAGATCCCAGATTTGGCTTGACCTGTGAGCTGAAAGAAGGTTGTGAACATGCCAAATCTTACAAAGTTTCACCCTGTGGTAGTTGCAAAATGCCCAAGTTTGCCTCAGTTTTGCGGTTGTCAGAGCTCCCCAAAGTTGAAATTTGCGCGGAATTCAAAGAAAAAATCGGCCATCTGGCGACATGTTTCTCTCACAGGGTGTGGCTTTTCGTGCTGGCGAATCTCGTGCTGGATGTTTGGAGCTCTGCGCCTTAAACTCCCTAAACTCCAACGATGCCAGTACTGCTAGTAGCTTTGACCCTACTCACGGTTTAGGGTTTAGGGCGTGCATAGATCCTCTTCATTGAAATGTCAAAAACGGCTTAAGCCAATCAATGGCAAGCCACTCCGAACACCAAAACCTTGCAGCGTCAACCTGCTTCCCATCATAGTCCTTTATTGCATGTCTTAGTCAGACGTCACCCTTAACCGCCTTAGCGCTGAAGGCTCCAAAACTTCAGGTTTGGCTTTCAGGGATCTTCAGCGCTTAGGGTATATGATAAGATGTTCGTTTGGGACTACGAAACTGCTTCGACCTACGTATTCTCTGCACCTTCTCGTCTTGTCCAGACTGCCCGACAAATCCTGAACTCGACATAGGCCTCCGAAGCCGAACCCCCCCACCTCGTGCCCGCCCTCAATCAAGAAACAATAGCCCTTATAGACCCCTCTAAAGGAACTCTGTGGTAGTCCCTACATAATCCCCAATCATAATCTCCATAATCCATTCCCCGATTCTCTACGAAGAAACCAACGGAGCCCAGCGGCCTTGGTACTATGGTTTGAGCCGCCAATGCGGCCTTCCGCCAGGTCCTGTATGTGGGCAGGTGCACAACTCTGTGCGCACGTGTAAAGTGTACACACAAAACCGGACGTGTAACAAAGCACCCATATGAACATATGTATTTATGTACACGCACACACATATACTTACAAACCTTACGCACGTACATACACGCAAGATGCATGCAATATTCATTGACTCATACATGCTCAATCACCTTCCTTCATTTCTTCCTTCATTCATTCACTGATTCATTCATTCATATATACATCCATGCATATATACATAAATACATGCATCCATGCATACATACCTACCTTCCTTCGTTCATGCATTCATGCATACACATAGATCAATAGAGACATTCATTCATTCATTCCTTCATTCGTTCATACATACGTTGATGACAGCCAGGCAGGCACGCAGACGGACAGACAGACACATGCAGACAGACAGACAGCCAGCCAGACAAACAGACAGACACGGGCGGAACAAACATGTTTCGCAGCCTGGTTCAGGGCTTACCTTTGGTTAGTAGGAAATGGAGGAATGGGGTACAATTATAACTACTATTACTACCATGCTTCCATTCCTTACTAACCAAAGGTAAGAGGGTGCCGCTGTCAGGATTCCAAGGATGATGATGCAGGCTGCGTCTGCTAGTGCCAGTTAGGCTTTAGGGGTGTAGGGTTTAGGGTTTTCCCCCACCGCCCAAGCAATTTTCGACCTGCGGTGCGTAATCTTCTCCAGTCATGGTGTTTGCATGGTGTGTTCCTCGATCTCTTCCTTAAGCTTTAGTCATGACATTCTTGGTCCATCCCTCGGTCTTCATGTCTTTATTGCTTTGCCTTTGACCTTCTCACAAAGAAGACCCCCAAACTTACCGCTGGTTAATAGGGAATGGAAGAATGGGGTACAATTATAACTACTATTACTACCCTTCTTCCATTCCCTACTAACCAACGGTAAGCAAACTCGAGACCTGGAATCCTTACCTAGGATACCCAGTAACCTAAGAATAAAAAGGCCTCTCTTCTTGGTATTGGGTAACTTTATAAGGAACCTAGGACTACAAAAAGGAAATAAGGGTACTACTGGGCATCCTAGTTACCGTAACACCCTGAGAGCCTGCAATGTCGAGGTGGGATGGTTGGTAATAGTACATCTTCCTTGCCCACATGGGGGTTTCCGGGGACCCTAATGCAGTACCCTAAATAGTAGGATCCCTAGTATAAGGACCCCAGAATAAGGTATTAGTTTCGGAAACTCCCACATGAAAAAAAGCGAGTAGAGCCAGCAGGACTCCGTTCTGATTGTTCATGCCCCGAAACCGATACTCTGCAGTAACCGTTACAGAGCCCTTATAGTCTAGAACCCTATACCTTGACTCCGAATTCGGCAAACCCAAAAAGATCGCCCCTAAACCCTAAACCCTAAACAAGATCGCTCCGTAGGCAGATCGAAGGTCGTTCCGAAGAAGGTGCCGGCTAGAATGGCCTCGGTTTGGGGTTTAGGGTTTAGGGTTTAGGGTAGGGTTTAGGGTTTAGGGGTCGGTTTGGGGTTTGCGGCTTCAGCGACAGGGGTTCCTTCGAGGGGTTCTGTGAGGGATCCACAAGGCTTCTATGTCAACGGGTCCTTCGTAGATAGCATGAGTCTTCGACTAGGCTTCTTGTAGGAGTATTGAAAAGCTTTAGTTAAAGGAGTTCAATATACTGGGCTTTCAAAATTTTAACAGCATCGGTTCCATCAGGAGGAAAAGCCCTGCTCAACTTCGCTGAGGAACTTGCCTGTGGCAAAGCAAAGCCCTAGACTCCAAGGGAAAAGGAGAGACCCTCAATAAGGACCCCTAGGAATATACCCTTAATATAGCCATTATATACCCTTGTATAGCCCATTTTGGGGTAGGGGTCCTTCTTAAGGGTCCCTCCTTTTACCCTGGGATAGACGAAGCTTTAAGACGCTTTTGGAACTCTATGAAACGCTGAGTCAGCGTTGCAAAAAATCCCAAGCCCTAAACCGTAAACAATAGTTATGACTAGTTGGCCCTAAAAGGCAACACCGTCTCAGCACCAAAAGGGCCGAGCTACGAGGAAGATCCCAATGCCGATCTCGCGGCAATCTGCCTGTTCCTCTGCTTGAAAAAAACGGTGTCGAGCTTAGGGAGTCTAGAGTGTCTAGGATTTAGGGTTTAGGGTGAGGGTTTCGGATTTAGGGGTTTGTGACATTGTGGCTTAGGGTTTAGGAGTACGTAAGGGTTTAGGGCTGGGTTCAGTTGAGGGTTTAGGAGTTTCAGGTCTTCGGTGAAGGGCCTTGGTTGGTTTTCATGAGCAGCAGCTCGCTAATCGGTTTAGGGTTAAGGGTTTAGAGTTTAGGGGCTACACTACGATTTTTTGTTTAGGGTTATAGTTCAAAGTCTGAGGTTGCGGGTTTAGGGTCTGCAGTCCAGGGTCCAGTCACAGAGGTGTCATCGAACCCTTTCAACAAGTACAGCGCTTGGTCAATCTTACGAAAGCCGACACAAAAACATGTAGCCAAGAAGAGCCAAATAGATTGAGGTGAAGGCGCAACCCCAAACCCTAACAACCTTAACCGTGACCCTAGACTTCTAGACTCTAAACCCCAAACCCCCAAAACTCAGCTGCCTCGAAAAGAGAGACAGTGCAATCATTGCAAAGCCTTCCCCCCCCTCCGACCAGAGGACGTGCAACGAAAAAGTATGGGTTTTGAAAGGGTGTCTTCAAAACCATGCAAGCATCTCCCAGGTTTGCCTGAGAAGCCGAAGCTCCAATCACAAACCTCACGCCCTGATTTTAGGAAACTCTAACAACCTACCTTTGATTCGATGCCCGGAACCCTGAAGCCCTAAGCCCTTACTCGCTCTTGAACCCGCTCTACACACGATGAAGACTCTAGAGCTTCAGCCATCAAAAAATCCTCGAACACCCAACATCCTAAAACACGGTGGAACCCTTACCTGCTTAATTAAAACCTTACTATCTAAACCCTAAACACTACCGGCTTTAAGGTTTAGGGTTTTGGGCTGAACCCTAAATAATACCCTTATTGTAGTATTTACCCCTGAACAGAGTAGCCTGACAGGAGCCCTTGTAGGAAACCGCTCAGAAGAGGCTCCTGGCCCACGTCCTCAGCATTCTTGGCCTGCTTTGCCTCATCGATGCTATCCAGAGTCCGGGTCGAGCCAAAACCCTCCTCCAGGGGTGTAATAAATATAGGGAAATGAGACGGTTTAGGGTTCAGGGACCAGGGTTTAGGGATTAGGGCTTAAGGATTACCTTCCGAAAATAAGGGACCCTAATATAGGGGCCTTGATAATTAGAATAGGATTTTGGGGGCCCCTTATGCTATAATTATGACAAGGAACCCCCAAAATAGTTTAGGCAATTATTAAGGCCCCTATCTTACTTACCCGATGAGCCACAGCAATGAGAGGCCAAACTGTCCGATTCCTACAAAACTATAAGAGCCCAAAAAGTTTGAAGGGTGGGTACTTGGAGGATCATGGGACTTAGTAAGTAGGGTTATAGGTCCCCTAATTGGGGTTATAAGTACTTATAAGTATAGTTACCTTATTTATAACCCTAGTTACTAACTCCCATGATCCTTTAAGTATTGGGGATCTAAGCAGGACATCGAAAATCCGCGCCGCGCCTGGACAGGGGAGCTTTGGGGAAACTTTGCTTTTCGAGGTCCAGGGAGCTCAGGGCGCGTAATGCAGCGGTCTTAATAATTAGATTTTGGTTTGGGGCCCATTCTACTGTAGTTATAATAGGGAACCCCGCAAAAAAGTATAGATAATTACTTAAGCCCCTATGGTGTGCGAACCATGCAGGGCAGCAACGAATGGCGCAGCTATCAGACTCATCCACCAGAGCCTTGAGATCTGCTGTCAACGGCATAGCTCTGGTGGAAGACACATCGCAGCAGTTGGATGTCTGTCAAGAGCCTAACTTGAAATCTAAAGCTTGTTCTAGAAGTCAACCCACATGCCACCGCATCGCCCCACAACAAAACCGAAAACCTGGTGGAAGCCCATCTTGCAAGCTACGCGCTGTCACTATATCAGTCACTAGCAATTAGAGAGCAGGCTGCGTCCGTGGACGTTGATATGCAGGAAGCCGTACAAGAACTCTGCAACCCGACAATCTAATATAAGCACGAGTCACCCTCGACCGTAAACTCCCGGAACACTCCCAAACCACACCCAAAAGCGTCATCAGCAACCCCGAAGCCCAAACCCGAAACCCTACACCTCAAAATCCAAATTCACCTAAACCCCTACCGCTGAGCTCCTAAACATCCCTGAGCCCGTAAACTCTAAATCCCTAAACCCTAAAATGAATTTATAGGGACAGACTCCAAACCCTGCTGTCCTCGTCGGCCTCCAAGTCGCGGTTGGAGCTGTCCTAGGGTTTACAGTAAGCCCCTTAAAGTTGGAAACCGGATTAAGGCCAAATAGAGCTGGGACTCCCTATACATTACACTTAAGGATTGAGGCTATGGGGTTTCCAACTTTTCGGCTTCTACTGTAGAGGGGTTTAGGGTTCAGGGTTTCGGGATTGGACGCAGAACAGTCTTCCTATAAGGGTGCTTGAAAAGGGGTCTATAAGGATTACTAGAAGGGCTCTATAATGTCGGGTTTAGGGCTTTGGGGTTTTAGGGCTTCTTGATGTTGTCCCGTATCCTAGGGGAGCTACAGGCTAACCTCTGAGGAGATATGCGGGTTATGGTACCCAGAGCCTCCAAATCCCCTGCATTAAGGAATATACCCTAATTCAACGGTTTAGGGTTTAGGGTGTAGGGCATAGGATCCCTAATATGATTTAAGGTATATTCCTTAATTCAGGGTTTTGGAGGCTCTGGGTACCTCAAGGGAAAAAGGCGACCGACTCTGCCGCAACATCAGGGTTTGGAGACTTGACGGCTCAGGGCTTCCGGTGTCGGCAGAGAGTCCTAATAGCTTGAGGGATCTATAGGGGAGTGTAAGGGTTCCTTTAAACGGATCCATAAGGGTACTAGTTGGGTACTATAAGGGATCTATAGGGGATCTAGAGGGCCCCTAATGTAGGAGCCCGATTAAGAAAACTTGTGCCTTTATTAGGGCTCCTTATGTGGACCCTACTATCTTGGGGTTATAGGCCCAGGTTTTCGTAATCAGGTTCCTACATTAGACGTTTATGGACGTTTGAGCTCCCTAGAAATCCCAAACACAAACAATGTTCGCCACCCTCTGAAGTTGGTGCCTTGACAGGTCAGTCGACACCCCGGGACTTTCTGGAATGAGAGCGTCCTTTTGTTGAGGTCCATGATGCGCGAGCCAACCCCAAGCCCTAAACGATAAGAAGAAAGTGTTGACATTCCAACCCGAAGAGGGTAGATCAGAAATCTCAAAACCCACACCAAACCATAGATGAAAACAGATCCAAGTCTATCCTAGCCCTAAACCCTATATACCCGACCTGTAGACGACCATACTTTCAAAACAACTTCTAGAACACGGGTCGGAGCATTCAGACAGCCTTGAAAACACACATCGAATCCCATGCACGCCTTCAGGAGACCCTGCTTGGAGGATCATGGGACTCAGTAAGTAAGGTTATAGGTACCTTAATTGGGGTTATAAGTATAGCTACCCTAATTATAACCCTACTTACTAAGTCCCAAAAGCCTTTAAGTGTAAACCCTAAACCCCCATAAATCCCTTATAGTACCCTTATGGATCCCTGAAAAAAACCCCAAACCCCCTACTAACATAGGGCCCCAAAAAAGCACATAAGCAAAAATGAGGTTAGGGATATCCCATATAAACCCCCTTATAATGAAGCCCAGTAAGGTAGGGATATCCCTATAAAATGCTTATGCTTATGTGCTTTTGGGGTCCCTAAAGAAGCCTTGAACGACCCAAGAGGCGGCGGTCGATTCGGTGGGGCTGCGTGCAATGCCTGGCTTTCGCCCATGTTCGTGCTTAAAGGGATCCATAAGGGTACTATAAGGGATCCATAAGGGTACTATAAGGGATCTATGGGGGTTTAGGGTTTACACTTAAAGGCTCATGGGACTTAGTAAGTAGGGTTATAATTAGGGCAACTATACCTATAACCCCAATTAAGGTACCTATAACCTTACTTACTAAGTCCCATGATCCTCCAAGTGTCTATACTGAACTTAGGACGCGTTGGGCACGTTTGCCCCGCACTTTGTTGTGCAGACGCCATGCTTGAAGAATGTTGTTGCTGGAATGGTGATGGTTGTGTTTCATAACGCGTATCAGAAACCTAGGAAAACGCTGGCAGGGACGATGAATTTGGGATTCGACAAGAGAGACGACACAGATGACGACAAGGAAAACTGTTGGAACATGATATTGTTGCAACTGGTTTGGAAGGGTGCATTCAGGAGGTCGAACTTTGGAGTTCGACCTTCGAAAATGGGAATGCTTCGAGCAATTGCGCGGCAGGGAAACCTTGTTTTGCGTGTGCACGCCTGTCACTGTGCGAGGCCTAGCCAGGACGTGTCTGTCCAGGCCACAGCGGGAGAGACTTTGTCTTCACAGAAGGCTCTGTAAGCAACCACAGCATCGATGACACTTTGCAATCCAGGCTCTTGGTTCAGGTGGAAGGACGCCAGGGTATCACCAGGCATTTCTCTCCGAGCTTATTCGTTCTCCGCAGGGCCTTTTTGATCGTCCCGGCGAGAGATTCTGCACGTTGGTCGCCTCCCACCATTGTGACCTTTCTGGCAGTGATCTTCGCCCGGTTGCCAAAACTCAAGTTTGAGAGAGCATGCGAACCCAGTTGTTTTCTCGGGACCTTCGTCACGGGGGTGTATTCTGCTCTATTGTGTCTGGCTGTCGCCGACACCATTCCGAGAGCTCGCCAGGTCACTCGAAGCAGCGGCTGGTGCAGAGCACAAGCGGACACATCCATCGCAGTGTCTGTCAACGGCTCCGATATTTGCCAGCGCAGACAAAACCTCATCCACCTGCGCTCGAGACTCTGCGGAGAAGTGCCTGTGGACCTGCTCTGCGCGCAGCCAGGGTTGCCCATCTCCTGACAGAAGCATCAAAGCCTGGAGGACTTCTGCACATGGATTCCGGCCAAAAAAAACTCCGGCAGCCACGTCTTCATCCTCTGAGCAGACTGTCAAGGGCGAGAAAGCCTGCAAGGAAAGAGCGTCGCTTCGGATGCTCCATGGCGAAGAGGGATCATATCTCGCCCTCTTATGGGGCGGGGTTTGGTTCATCCTGGCTGCTGCTCCCAAGCAAAGAGTGTCAGGCGTACGGCTTCAATGGACGTCATTATTAGGTCATTATGGCTCTGACAGAGGATGCTTTGCCCATATGACTCACAGAGTGACCCAGGGAACTAACAAAAGCCAAGCATTGCTGACAGTGAGGTCAAGCTCAGTCCACGCATCGCAGATCAGACTGCTCCAGCGCAGAACCAGCTCGCCAGCAACTTCCATTGCTAGAGAGGCTCGAGTGCCTACGGCCTCTGAAGCCCAAGGCTTCACATATGGGGTGACAAGGTTAAGGCTGTAAAGTCGAGGGCTGAAGGAGCGGGGCCTCGTCAGCCTTGCCAGCATTGCCAGCAACAGGCATCATCATCGCGGTCATCATCAACTCATGATCACCATCAATGTGGGCAGCAGCATCGGCAGCAATATCGTCATCATCATGTCATGATCCAAACGGTCATCATCATGTGCCATCATCAGGTCGTCATCATCATCATGCGACATCATCAGGTCATCACCATCATCATGTGTCATCATCATGTCAACATCATGTCATCATCATGCGTCATCATGTCAACATCATCATGATGATCATAGCAGCAACATCGTCACAACAACAAAGCGCGGGGCAAACGTGCCCAACGCACCCTGAACTTAGAACCCTAGCAAAAGTTATAATTGTAGCTGTGTCTTAGGGGTTATAATAACCAAAAATTAAAAATCAATTCTAAGTACCCCTAAGGTGTAAGGTTCCGGTGGCTTCAAAGCGTTGCGGTTTCGGGTTCTTACTTACCCAATAAGCCACAGAAGTGAAAGCTTAAACTTCCCGATTCCTACTAAACTACTAGACCCAAGAGTAACCCAGGCATAAAAAGGGTGCCCTTTTTGGTTTAAAGGGGCTTATAAGGGAACCTGAACCCTAAAAAAGGGAATAAGGGCCTACTCTGGGTCCTAGACTATAAGAGCCCAAAAAGTTTAAAGGTTGGGTAGTGGGGATCTAAGAGTTCTTTTGGTGTCTACAGTAAACCCCTTCAAGTTGGAAACCGGATTACGGGGAAATAGTGCTGGGATTCCCTAGACATTACTCTTAAGGATTGAAGCTTTGGGGGTTCATTTAAGGGTTCCTAAAAGGGTCCCTCTAAGGGTTCCTAAAATGGTTCTACCCTTCAAAGCGTGTGTCCAACTGTTGGGCTTGTACTGTATCCCCAAAAGATGTATTAAAGGTATGGTACTCCAAAACCCAGTTCAAGGTTCGGGGCTTTGGGCTTTTCAGCGGCTGTAGGCCAGGTTTGGGGAGTAGAGCTCCAGGGTTCAAGGGTTTGGGGCTATTAGTCTGGGCCTAGAGGGTTTATAAAGTTTAGGGGTAGAGATTAGGGTATAGAGGGTCAACGGTTTAAGCCCTAAGCAATATGAGCTAGACTTCTGTTCTGACTACAGGCATATTCCCTGATTGTGGGCATTGGGCGCTGCGGACTCAGCTCTGCGCTGCTCAGGCTATAAACGTGTTTCAAAGTAGGGTAACCCTAAACCCTAAAAACCTTATTTCAACCCTGAATCCTGGGCCCGTAGGAGTTTAGCGACGTAATCTTTGGCGCCTTGGGGTGGTTTAGACCTCAGAGCTTTCGTTTGGGTTGTATGTAGGTTTTACAGTAGCGCTACGTTA